CCCCACGTCGGGGGGCCGCATGGGTGACTCGAACGAGCCCGAGCTTTTCATGCAAGCGTTCTATAAGCCGATCGTCCGATGGCGAAGCGAGATGGCGACCATCACTGGCCCTCTCTTCCGTGTCCAGTGCCCGATCACCGACCAGGAGCAGGATGTGGCCATGGGGGGGTTCATAGACGATCTGATCCAGGTTTTTATCGTCCCCGAGGGTAGCACAGAGAACGCCTTGCTGCTAGATTGCGTCGACAACACGGTTCTTAACAGGGAGCTCGAGCTAGGGGGCTTCGTCCAGAACATTAGCAAACAAGACGCGCTAGTGCGTCTGCGGGCCCCCCAAGCCACTCGATCAGCTGAAAGACAACTCAGCGGGCGCCCCGTCACGGACCTCATTCATCTAGGTGGCTACATAAACGTGAACGGCTCCAACACTAAGGAGATCACTGAGAGGGTCAAGGCTGGCAACATCGGCTGGAGCTCGCTGGGGCAATATTGGTTCTCATCGGGGCCCTACCGTGCGAAACGAATGACGTTCTTAGCCAACGTGGCGGGACGCATCTGGAGTGGCCTCGAATCGTACGTCCTTCGCCCCAGTGAAACAAAACGACTCGATCGCAGTATTGCCAAATAGTTGCGAGCCATGCTCCGTGGGCAGGCCCATTCGGTCGACTCGGCAGGACGTCACCATTCCTTCACCACGCGGCAGGTGCTTGAACAGTGGTCCGTCCCTCCCACGGCGCTGGAGCTGCTGGTCCGCCGCCTGGGCTGGTGGCAGAGCATCGCGGCAGAGCCAGAGCACCACTCCCAGTTCCTAGCAGCAGTATCTAGCAGCAGTATTCGGGCAATGCTTGTTTGAGATACGCTTGGGCGACCAGGCGCCTCCCTCGCCACTCTCCTCCGACGGCTGCGTGAACACGGCCGAGAATGTACACCCGTGGGCCAGGCAGTTCGCGTCAGACATGCAATGTGTTCTCTCTCACCCTGTTGGCGAAGATCTCCTAGAAGTTTGGTCCCCACCGATTGTACGATCCCTCTTCGAGGACTCAGCTGCGAACGAGCGGTTCCGCATGTGCGACATGACCGTCTTTCGGGCTACGTATCTGGCACAAGAGTGGGCACCCCCCAGTGGCACACCGGTGGCCGAGCACATACATGACATGACCCTCCTTAGCGATGACTCGGACGAGGATGAGCTTATGTTCGTGTGCGGCCTCGAGGGCTGCCCCAAGAAGTTCCCCGCGATGCACAGCCTTATCGCACATCAGGTACACACGCAGGCACCTGGTCACGGCTGCCCTACTATCATATCTACTATCACACTGGACAACAAATGCTGAGTCTGCGACGCGATCTTCAAAAACACGGAGCACACCATCAGGCACCATCGTCGTTCCTGGCTCCAGGGTCGTTGTATTCCCGAACAAACACGGCACGAATACAAATGGCAGCCTACCCGAGTGCGCTCATGCCCATTATCTGCACAATCGTCCTCGGCATGTTGTCAGCATGGGTTTAACGATCCCGTCGATCTTCGAGAGCACGTACTTTCGCACATCCCACCGTCGCCATTTGGGCTCTGGTCTCGTGCCAGCCTCCCTTCGCCTCGCCCGCGCGCTCCAGCGAGTGCGCCTGGCGCGCCCCCTGAGGCGTCGAGCGCGGCGCCGAGCGGAGGCGGCGCCAGCAAGTGGGTTGCCGAGGACACCACCAGCAACAGGCACAAGCTCCAGGCGGCCTCGCTGAGGCTACTGACGAGTGCACCGCCACCGCCGCCAGCGCATCCGACGCCGCGGCCCGCCAGAAGACCGGCTCACCCGACCCCGTCCGCGGCGGCCTCGACCGCCCCGGCCACGCCATCGGCTACGCGAATCTTGACAGCTACACCCACCACAGCAGCGCCGATTGCACGGCGCCATCCTGGACGAGCCACCTCTACAGCCCCGCCTAGCAGCGATGGCGGACCAGAAACCACGAGCGTCGTGGCGCCTGCCGCGATCCTCGGCTCCGTCTGGGAATGGTGGAACAGGAAGCAGGCAAGCAGAGCAGCCGCGAGCAGTACGCCAGCGGACGGGGGGCGAGGGAGCAGCGGCCGCGGGAGGGGGCATGACAGTGGACGAGGGCACGGGCGCGGCAGTAGCCGAGGGGCAAGGACCTCTACGCCGACGCCGAGGAGGACGCCGCCGTCGCGGGACCCACAGCGACAAGAAGTGGTCCAGCAAGGACGGCAACCTGCTCGAGCTGCTCATGGTGATGGCGAAGCTGCTGTTGCAGACGACGCAGCGCACGCGAGCGACCATGGCGAGCAGCATGGACGCCATCCAGCTCCCCATCACCCACAGGGTGGTGATCGCGATCGGGGACGAGCTGGACCTCTACAAGAACGAGCTGGACACGCTGAGGAAGGGCGACGCCGAGACCAAGAAGAAGTTGCACACCATCGGCCCCCCCACCGCGGGGCTCGCAGTCGCCATGATAGAGAGCCTAGCGCAGTGCGACATCGGCGGAGCCATGAAGACGTCCCTCACCGACTTCCTCAACAGCGTCCAGCCCCAGAACGACGAGCAGGCCACGACTACCAAGAGCGACCTCGAGGACGCGATCGCCTTCCTCCGTCTGGAGGCCTGTCACGACAAAGAACACATCAAACTTCAAATATCGATGAATCAGTGGCAGATGAGATCCACCATCTTGCAGGCTTTCAGAGCAGAGGGAGTAGCCCGCGTGATGACGGGAGTCGCACCTCCTGGCTGGCTCGAAGAAGAACTGGGCACGTGGGTGGACACGCTGGCGAGCAAGGGGGGCTGAGCCCTAGGCCAATCGTCTTCCAGCGCAGCAGCTCCTCCCTCCCAGCCTCTAGTCACGAATGCACGGTCTATGATGGCAGCAGCGTGCGCGGACATCCCAAGTTCCCGTTCGCCCTACGCCCTGCCAGCCGCGCCTGCCAAGCCCCAGCCAGCTCCTCCTCTCGCCCTTTCGCGGCCCACCCTGTACAGCCACAGGAAAAAGGATGTCACGGAGTCTGCGCTGGAACCTTGTTCTTGAGCCCTCTTGAGCCACCCGAGCCTGTCGACGACTACGCCGCCGACGAAGACGCCGCTAGAGAGTTAGGCAACTTTAGCTAAAAAGCGGTTGCCCTGATCAGGATGCTAGAGTGCACGCAAGTTTGCCGCTCGTTGAGCCCCTTGCACGGCGCGCCCAGCCTGGGCGAGTATAGGGCCACACGCCCTGCGACGGGAAATTTTACTATGTTCTACCCGACGCACTGTCACGTTCCAAACAGCATTGCGTGGTTTTGTTTTCCCCAAGGTCGATGGATGGATGGAAAAAACTCCTCCTCCTCCTCCTCCTCCTCCTCCTCCTCCTCCTCCTCCTCCTCGGGTCGCCTACGGCCCCGGGGGAAACCGTGCAGTCCAAGGTTGGGAAATAGAAGCGCGCCGCCACCACCACTCGGGCGGGTGCGGGATGAGCTGATGCGCGGGATGCAGACGCGCAGGATGCCCCGCTGCAGCGGCTGAAAAGGCAAACGCCGCCACCCCCGAACGGTCTTGACCATGCGTTTTTGAAAGTTGGTGTTTTTGAATTCCCAGAGCCCGATCTGCGCCTTCCTATTTCAAGAGTCGAACAGGGTTCCCTCTTCCTCCCTCTTCATGGGGCGGGCGGAAATCCATCCAAGTTTCGCCACCTTCCTTCCTCATGTTTCTGCCCACTGCCCACTTCTTCCGACCCATGGGCATCCACCGTGCGTTCAAATACCTCGTCTCGGAGCCCCAGATTCCAATCTACTGCAGGCGCCCTGACCCCAATTCTGCCTCCGAAAACCCAGCCTTACTTGCACTACGTGTGCATCGGCCCCGCAAGCATCGGCTCGGGGCGCTGAAGAAGGAACCCTTCTCGTTTGGGAGGGGCTCAGTGTTCCTTAGTTGTTTTACACTTCGCCTTCGTTCTTCCTTGAGTTTTCGATGGGTTATTGAAGTTCAACTTTTGGAGAAAAGGGGCCTAGTTCCTTATCTTGGGTTCCTTGGGTCGACGCCCTGGTGGTAGTCATACTACTGGGGAAATGCTAGACAACAAGACTTGTGTGACAGATCGTCGTGTCGCACGTGCGCCTCCAACGTCGGCAAGTCATGTTTTCTTGGATTGGTGCTGCACCCCCCTCCCTGGGGCGCGGTGCGCGCCAGGGGCGCCAGAGGCGCCGCCAGGGGGCTCCAGCGACGATCCAAGACATCCTCGCGGACCTCCGAAAGTTATGATGTTCCAACCTACTTTACACCAGGAAGAATTTCGAGCAAAGTCATATGAGAGCAACATAGTCCGAAAATCCTGTTCACGCCGTTTGCTGTTTGTCAGCCCAGCCTCCTGGTGAGCGACGGAAGGAAAACGGGGTCGTCTTCGGCGACATTGGCGCGCAAGCTGCCCGCGTAAGGTCTCGCTCAAGTGCTCTCGTTTCCAATGCAGCGTGCCGTGCCGGCGGCCCGCGTAAGCCGGCGCGTAAGTTCGCCCTTCTATCTCCGGTAAGACCCGTTTCTCTTCGTCGCTCAGGTGGTGAACGATTTGTCGTCTCGGTCACGGCCGATCGTTCCAGGTTGAACGGTCCTCGCGGCGTCAGGCATCAACGCCAGGGTCGACACGACGCGAACCTGAGGTATGTCTATGCCATTTGCTGTTCCTCTGTCCACGTCCAGGTGATGCTGGTGAAGCGTTTCCTTCCCATTCTATTGCGGACGCCTAGCCTCCGCCCTCCATCCCGTCAAGCAGAGGCGAAGCGTCCTGGCTCGCGTACAGGCCCACCAAACAACGTTCTGATAACTTTTTGTGGTCTGCGCCAAATGTTGTTAGAACATCTGTGGCTGACGCTGTCCTGTATCATTACATCTGGTACACATTTTCTAAGAACATCGTTTTTGTCCTTAGAACAGTTTGGGGTCCGAAGACCACTCCGTGGTAGGCCTACAGGAATGCCGGGAAGAAGGTCTCTGCCCAATCCCAGACGCGTGCGCGCGCGCGAGGCGGGGGCGGCGGAGGCTGGAGTGGCCTACCCGCGCTCGCAGGCCAGGCCGCCCCGCCCCCCCAGACGGTTTCTCCCCCTCCTCCTCCTCCTCCTCCTCCTTCTCCTCCTCCTCCTCCTCCCCCTCCTCCTCCTCCTCCTCCTCCTCCCCCTCCTCCTCCCCCTCCTCCTCCTTCCCCTCCTCCCCCCCCAGCGCTGGGGGAAGTTCGGCTACAACTCTCCTTGCAGGTCCTATTCTGATTTTGCCCTGGTCCAAAATCCGGCTCAATCCTGCGCTCTTGGGAGTCTTGGGAGCGCTCTTGGAGCCCATTTGGGTCATCTTGGGGCCATTTTGAAGCCTCGGATGGACATCGGAAGCGAAAAGGCGAGAAAGTCAGAAACATTGATGCTCCTAAGGTTTTGAAAGGAGTTGGGCCTCTTCGGGGCCTCTTGGGGGAGCTCTTTGGACACTTGGAGCCGTCTTATAGCGGTCTTGGGGCCTCTTGGAGCATCGTGGGAGCCATCTTGAGGCATCTGGGGATATTTGAGCCATCTTGGAGGTCATCTTAAGCAGTGCCCCCTCCCAGGAGGCCAAAGTGTAGCCAAAACTGTAGTAAAATCAATGATTTTGGCATTGTCGCTGAGGCCTCTTGGAGCGTCTTGGGTGCCTCTGGGGGGCCTCTTTGAGCCTCTTGGGGGTCTCTTGGGAGCCTCTGGGGGCCTCTTGGGGCCTCTTGGGGCCTCCTGGCCAACTCTTGGGGCCCTCTTGGGGTACCCTTGGGAGCCTTGGGAGCACTCGTGGGGCCATCTCAGAGGATATCTATCAAAGAAGGGGGGGTTCTTAATTAGCGCTGCCCCCCCCCAAGAGGCCAAAATGGGGCCCAAACCCTGGTAAAACCAATAATGTTTGCTTCCTCGCCGAGGTTGGACGCTCCGGCGACTCGCGAAACGCCCCGTCCAGGTCCAGGGGAGGGGGCAGGGGCCAGGTCCAGGGGAGGGGGCAGGGGGAGGGGTAAACACCTTCCCAGAAGGGGAAGAACGGGATGGAAGAGGAAACACCCTAAACCACCTACGCCCTGAAGGGCTGGTGGGATTCGCGCGGAGCGCCACAAGTTTATGTTTATGCAGTTGTTTCTCGTATTCTCAGAAAGCTCGGAAGCCCTCTGGCCTTCTCAGAGGTTTTCAAAGCCTTACCCGAAGACGCAGGAAGCTTCTCAGAGGGCGAGAGGGCTTCTGAGAAGTCCCGCCGCCTTCTGAGAAGGCCTTCTCCTTCTAACTTCCCCGAATTGCTCGCCGCCGATCTTTGTGGGCGGCCGAGAGGGGAGTGATGACTAGCGGCGTTGGATCTCATGGCTGGGCACATCACGTCCCCTCGGAGTTCATGGCGCCTTTCTTGTCTCAAGACATCCCCTGCCCCCCTCGAAGGGGCTCTCGCCTGCCTTGGCCCATGATTTGCGATTCCCCCCCCTCCTGGACGCCTTTCTCTTGGATCCCCCTGACCTCTCAGTGTTTTACGTGCTTGGCTGCTGTCATCTTTGACGCTGCCTGTTGTGCGTCGCGTCGTGGCTGCGACCACTTCGCCTGGGAGCGTGGCTATTTAGGCCCCCGTGCGATATCATTGGGTCTCCTCTTGTCCTCATCCTCCCTCCTTTTCCCCTCCCTCCCTCCTCCTCCTCCTCCTCCTCCTCCTCCTCCTCCTCTTCCTTGTCTTATTCAATCGCTTCGCTCATCCCGCGGGCCCATTTCGCATCATGGTGGCTGCATGGTGGTGTGTTCGTACCCTTAGGGCCTTAGGGAACGGTAGGACAGGGCAGGTAGGATTGTCCTCGAGGAGGTCTTTGGAGATGCGGCTCGCACCCTGTCGAAGAGAGCCGATCGAGGGCGCCAAGATGGCTCAAGAGAGCTCCAGCAGATTTTCGAGACGTACCTGCGTTGTTGGTCAGAGTCCTCATGGATGCCTTCTGGGGTCTCTTCGGAGGACTCTCGGGAGTCTCTGGGGAGCAGTTCTGAGGCCTATGAGGAGCCTCTTGTGGGCTTCTAGGGGGCCTCTTGGGGCTTCCTGGCGGCCTGAGGTCCTCTTCTGAGGCCTCAACGGGGCCTCTTGGGGTCTCTTGGGTGGCTCTTGGGGGCCTCGGGGGGCTTCCTCGGCGCCTCTTCGGGTCGAGATCCAGGAGAGAGCGCGTTCTTTGATCGCTTGGAGGAGGGGGGGTTCGAACTAGACCCCTTCCACCCCCCCTGGATGGAGGGAGGGGAGGGGTTCGAATCCCACCCCACCTTTCCCGTGACGGAGGAGGGGGGGTTCGACCCCCCCCTCCTTCCGGGGCCCGGGCGATTGCCCGCACGAGCGTCCCATTCCCATTCCCATTCCTTCCGTACTTCTCCTCTCTCCCTCTCCTCGGGCCGGCGCCTGCGTCGGCGGCGGCTGGCGGCGGCGCCAGGGACGACGATTTCCCTTTCTGGGCGGGGCGGCGGCGGCTGGCAGCGGCGCCGGGGACGCTGGCGCCAGCGCCTGCTGCTGCGGGCTGCGGCGGCGGGAAGCGTCGACGAGGACGACGGCGACGACGATGACGACGCTCCGCCACGGTGCCTTGGTTTTGGACTAGAGTCCTAATGGATGCCTCTTGGGGTCTCGTCGGAGGGCTCTCGGGGTCCTCTGAAGGGCATTTGTGAAGCCTCCTGGGCGCCTCTTGGGCGTCTCTTGGGGCCTTTCTAAGGTGGTGGTGGTGTTGGGCTGTGGTGGTGGTGGTGGCGGTGGAGGTGGTGGTGATGGTGGTGGTGGTGTGATGGTTGGTGGTGGTGGTTGTTGTGGTGGTTGTGCTGGCAGGTTGTGGTGGTGGTGGCGGTCGTGGAGGTGGTGGTGGTGCGGTGGTTTCTGGTGGTGGTGGTGGTGGTGGTGTGGTAGTGGTGGTGGTGGTGGGTTAAGGTGGTGGTGGTGGATGCGGTGGTGGTGTGGTGGTTTGTCGTGGTGGTTGTGGTGGTGGTAGTGGATGTGGTGGTGGTAGTAGTTGTGGTGGTGGTGGGTTGTGGTGGTGGTGGTTTGTGGTGGTGGTGGTGGTGGTGGTTGTGGTGGTGGGTGGTGGTGGTGGTGGTTGTGTGGTGGTTTGTGGTGGCGGTGGTGGTTGTGTGTTGCGGTGCTGGTGGTGGCGGTGGTGGTGGTTGTGGTTGTGATGGTGGTGGTGATGTTGTGGTTTGTTGTGGTGGTGGTTGTGGTTGTGAGTGGTGGTGGTGGTGGTGGTTTGGTGGTGGTGTGCTGGTGGTGGTGGTGGCGGTGTGGTGGGTTGTGGTGGTGGTGGCGGTGGTGGTGGTTGTGGTGTGGTGGTTTGCGGTGGTGGTGGTGGCGGTGGTGGTGGCGGTGGTTTGTGGTGGTGGTTGGTGGTGGCGGTGGTGGTGGTGGTTGTGGTGGTGTTGTGTTGTGGTGTGGTGGTGGTGGTGGGCGGGTTGTGCTGCTGGTAGTGGTGGTGGTTTGGCGGTGGTGGTGGTGGTGGTGAAGGTGTGGTAGATTTCGGTGGTGAGTTGTTGTGGTGGTTTGTGGTGGTGGCCGTGGTGGTGGTGGTTGTATGGTGGTTTGGTGGTGGTGGTGGTGGGTCGAGGTGGTGGTGGTGGTGGTGGCAGTGGTGGTGGCGGTGGTGGTGGTTGTGGCGTGGTTGTTTGTGTTAGTGGTGGGTGTCGTGGGCAGTGGTGTTGTTGGTGGTAGTGGTGCTGCTGCTGGTAGCCGTGCTGGTGCTGGTGGTGGGTGGGTGGTGGGTGGTGGTGGTGGTTGTGGTGGTGGTTGTGGTGGTGGTGGTTGTGGTGGTGGTGGTGTGGTGGTTTGTGGTGGTGGTGGTGGGTTTTTGTGGTGATGGTTGTGGTGGTGGCGGTGGTGGTGATGGTGGTGGCAATAGTGTGGTGGTTTGTGGGGTTGGTGGTGGTTGTGGTGGGTTGTGGTGGGCTGTGGTGGTGCTTGTTGTGGCGTTTTTGGTAGTGGTGATGTAGTGGTTTGTGGTGATGGTGGTGGTTGTGGTGGTGAGTTGTGGTGGCTGCTGTGGTGTTGGTGGTGGTGGCGGTGGTGGTGGTGGTGGTGGTGGTGGCGGTGGTGGTTTGTGGTGGTGGTGGTATGGCCTTCGGCTCTTCCCGCCACCGTGTTTTGATTGTGGGTCAAAGTTCTCATGGATTCCTCTCGACGTGGGCGTCAGAAGGGTCTCGGGGGCATCCGAGGATCATGTGTGAAGCTTCGTTGACCTTCCTTGGCTTTGGGTCGAAGTTCTCATGGATTCCTCTCGAGGTGGGCGTCAGAAGGGTCTCGGGGGCATCCGAGGATCATGTGTGAAGCTTCGTTGACCTTCCTAAGGGCCTCTCGCTGGCCTCTGGGGGGCGAGGGCTCGATCTGGCGATTTGTGTGTTCCCTCTGCGGCCTCTGGGCCCTCTCTGGTCATCGTCGCTGCGTCCACGCCGTCGGCGCCGCTGGCCGCTGCCAGCGCCGGCGCCAGCGCCGGCGCGGGGGGGGGTTTGAACCCCCCCGCCCCTCCCCTTGGGCCCTCTTTGGTCATCGTCGCTGCGTCCCCGCCGTCAACGCTGCTGGCGGCCGCCAGCGCTGGCGCCAGCGCCCGAGTGGGGGGGGGTCCAAAACCCCCCCTGGGGAGGGGAGGGGGGGCTCGGGAGGGGGAGGGGTTAGATGGGAGGGGGGGCCCACTCCCTGGTTTGAAACGCGCCGCTGAATGTTCCCAAGGCAAGCGCCCGTGAAACGCGTTCTCTCAGAGCTCTACATGTTTGTCGGGTTCCCCCTCTGGGCCCTCTCTTTGGGGCATCTTGGGGCCGTTTTGGAGGCCTCGGGCCGTCTTAAAGCCATCTTGGCCCATTTCGGGGCCCTCTTGGAAGCTTCTTGCGTTGTCTTGAAGCGATCGGGGCTTCTTGGGCCGTCCAGGGCGGCCGGCAGCTCGAAAAGGCGGTACCGCCAAACTCGCACGAACACCCAAACAAAATCAATGATTTTCGCGTCGTCGGGGCTTTTCGAAGTCCTCTTGGAACCCTCCTGGAGCTTCTTGGGCGCTCCTTGGGCCGTTTTGGGAGCAACGTGCGCCATCTTGGAATCCTCTTGGCTTGAGGCAGTGGGGCGTGCCACCCTTTCGGCGCCTCACTGGGGCGGGTTCGGGGGGCCTCCGAGGGCGCGCCCAGGAGCTTCGGCATCTCTGGCTCGACCCTGCCGGGACCTTGCCGGGACCTTGCCGGGGTTTTTGTCCAGGGGCCCCAGGGGCCGCCACGCACGCGCGTGCGAATTAGACACATTCCTAAATTGTGACCAGAGATTTTAGCACGCCTCTGGCCCGCTGGGCCGGCGAATTTTCTGTCTTGCTTGATGCGTGAACAGTGGCTGCTTGGGCCATCGGGGGTACATGAGGCAACGCTGAGGGCGGATGCGCTGCGGCATGCTGTGTAGTTTTCGGTTCGCTTTTCCCCTGCCGCCTCCTTTTCTTCCTCCTTCTCTGTGTTTGGAGGCAGCGATACTCTGTGGTCTGAATGACGGCCACGCGGCGGGGACAGCACCTGCCCGTGCGTTTAGGGGCCAGACCTCGAGACACCTCCTTCAAGCTCCACGCTGGTGGCTCTGATCCATCCAAGGGTACAGTCAATCCGCATTGTAAGGACGGGCGACATTTCCAAGGCTACCCTTGCATCCTTGTTCCTTCGCCCCATCCTTGGTAACTTTCGCTGGCCAATCTCGTTCGAAAAACATTAAGATGGCCTTCCAAGGCCCTTGCATCCTTACCGCGCATCCTCATGACACGGGTTGACTGCATTGCCATTGCCCCCCCCCACGGGCGGCCATCTCTGGGAGAGCATGATCCAGCGAATGGTCTGTCCGGAGGCAAACAATGAGGACGAGGACTCCTAGGGGCAGGCTGCCTTCTGGCGGCCCCAGGAGGGATGGGAGGGAGGGGAGGGAGAAGGAACGACGGGGCTGGGAGGTAGGTGTTGGAGGGGAGGGAGGGGAGGAAGGGAGGGGAGGGAGAAGGAGGGGAGGGAGGGGAAGGGAGGGAGAGGAGGGAGGTGAGGGAGGGGAGGGAGAAGGAGGGGAGGGAGAAGGAGGGGAAGGAGGGGAGCGGAGGGAGGGGAGGGAGGGAGAAGGAGGGAGGGGAGGGATGGGAGGGGAGGGATGGAGGGAGGGGAGGGAGATGAGGGAGGGGAGGGGGGAGAGAAGGAGGGATGGGAGGGAGGGGAAGGAGGGGAGGGAGATGGAACGACGGGACGGCGGCGGCGCTCTTGAGGAGGGAGGTCTCTCTTCTTGCCTCCTCTCTCGCTCCGCCTTCCTTCGGCTTTCTGCTGTGGATAGCATCGCGTGCGACGCTCCCCGCTGGTCTGTCTCGCGTCACGGTGACCATCGAGCAGTCAAGGAGCCAGGTGGGAAGGAGATGGACTGTTGCTGAGGCACCTCCTCCTTCTCCCGTCCCGACAAGATTTTTCACCCTGAGCCCTTCTTTTCTAAAAGAAACGTGGCGCTCCGCAATGGCGGATAAGAGTGAGGGGGCGGGGGGGGGGCTGGCGGGGGGGGGCGCGGGGGAAGTCGCGGGTAGGTCGCGGGTTGGTCGCGGCCGGGTCGCGAGGGGGACGACGACAGCAACGCAGCTCAGCAACAGTAACAATAATCTTCGGAGAGAACTCACACTGCAGCCATGCACCGAGGGACAGAGAATGGCCGTTCGGCTCCCTTACTCTGACCTTACCTTTTTCCTCAGCGGCGGCGGCGGCGATGGGCCGCGGCGGCGGCTCAGGCTCTTGCCCGCTTGGTCTCGCGCGAGGAGTACTGCGAGGCCCCCCCCCCGCCGCCCAGGCACAACAAAGACCCACAACCACAACTGAGTGGGTTTGTTTTTTTTCCTGGAGGGCTCCTCGTGGGAGAACCCACCGGCCTCAACACGAACACTTTGGTTGTGGTCGTGGTCGATGTGGCCGTCCTGGAACGCCACGTCGGCCACAGCCCGTGCCGAGCTGGTCTCGGTGTTCTGACGATTGTTGTCATGCGCAAGACATCCCCCCAGGGCATGCCCTCGAGGTGGTTGTGGTCGCTTGGCCGTGGGCGCGGGATCGGGTGCGGGGCGATTCGCTCGCTCGCTCGCTCGGTGGCGCCGCCGCCGACGTCGTTGAATCGTCGACGTCGTGGACCGTTGGCGCCGCAGGCCGTCATCGCCTCGGCCGCTGCCGCTGTGACAGATCGTTGTCGTCGTCGTCCTCGCCGTGGCCGACGTCGTCGTCCTCGTCGTCCATCGTCGTCGTCGCTGCATGTCGTTTCCTGCGTCCTCGGCCTCGTCGTCGTCGAGGACGGCGGTGACGAGAGCGACGAGGTCGAGGGCGATGGGGGAGGCCTCGCCCTCGCTCGCCTTCGTGCTCGACGTCCTGCCTCTTCAGTTTGCGAGCCTCCTCCGCACCCGCAGGGGGGATGGGCCCCCAGACCCCCTCGCGACGTGAAAGACATGGCGACGAAGGGCTATTCGCTACTTTCCGCCTCCGGGGACTCTCGCCCAGCCCCAGGAGTGTCAAAAGCGGACTCAAGATGCATAGAAAGTGTGGGGGAATGGGTTGAGACCTCTGGGGTTGCCGCTGTGAAGCAATCATGACGTCGGGGGTCTGGGCCGGAGAGGGGAATGCGATCGGGGACGGGAGGGGAGGGGGGAGAGAGATGCACGGGGGCAGGGGGTAGGAGGGAGGGCCATGGAGGCGTGCGAGGTGAGGGGAGGCAGGCACAAGGGAGGATGGGAGGGGGACACGGGAGGCGGGCATGGGCCCTGGTGCAACGCCAGTCGGCTCGGACGTGTGCATTTTTTTCACAAACATCCAGTGGTGTTAGGTCCTCGTTTTGACGAGACAGCGCCCCGCGGCATTCCTCTCCTCCTCCCCTTCCTCCCCTCCTCCTCCTCTTCTTCCTCCTCCTCCTCCTTCTCCTCCCGTCCCCCCCACTCACTTTGGCACACCCCTCACACGTTTCATGGCCCCATTGGGAGCCCCAATGAAGGCCCAAGTGTCAGCGTTCGCATGCTGCCACCGCACCCATTTGGGCACACCCCTCACACGTTTCGTGGCCCTACAGGGAGCCCGCCGAATGCCCAAATGAAAGCGTTCGCATGCGGCCACCGCACCCGTTGTGGCACACCCCTCACACGCTTTGTGTCTCCACTGGTAGCCCCACCGAAGGCTCAAATGCCAGCGTTCGTATACGGCCACCGTGCCCATTTTGGCACACCCCTCACACGTCTCGTTGCTCCGTAGGGAGCCCCAGGGAAGGCCCAAATGCCAGCGTTCGCATGCGGCCACCGCACCCTCTTTGGCACATCCCTCACACGTTTCGTGGCCCTACAGGGAGCGCCACCGAAGACCCAAATGCAAGCGTTCGTATACGGCCACCGCACACATTGTGGCACACCCTTCACACGTTCCGTGGCCCCACAATAAGCCCCACCGAAGGCCCAAATGCAAGCGTTCGCATGCGGCCATTTGGTCTCACCCCTCACACGTTTCGTGGCTCCACAGGGATCCCACCGAAGGCCCAAATGCCAGCGTTCGCATGCGGCTTCCGCACCCATTTTGTCACACCCTCACACGTTTCGTGGCCTCACAAGGAGCCCCACCGAGGGCCCAACTGCAAGCGTTCGCATGCGGCTTTCGCACCCATTTTGGCACACCCCTCACACGTTCCGTCGCCCCACAGGGACCCCCCCGAAGGCTCAAATGCCAGCGTTCGCTTGCGCCCACCGCATCCATTTTTGGCACACCATTCACACGTTTGGTATCCCCATAGGCAGCTCCTCCGAATGCGGTGCATACAACGACGGGTTTCAGAACTGCATGGAGGAGCATCCTGGATCATGGAGCAGAGAAAAACATGCAGCACGAAACCAACAAGTGCATGGGGAATGGACGTTCGCGCGATGGCGAGGATGGTGCGGATACTGCACACGTTGGCCGCCAAGGGCCGCGGGCTCCCCCCCCCACCGCAGCTCCCGCGTCCGCGGCCCCCTTGTTCGGCTGGAGAGGCGCCCGCCGTGGCTCTCCGTGTGGGTCGCGGCCTTTGTGGGTCAGTGGCCGCCGCCGCCGCCGCCGTCGCCTGCACTCCGACTGTGGGATCGACCACATAATCGATTTACTAGTACCCCAAAATTGAGCTCCCGTTGACTCTGCACAAAATGCCTAGACTGCTCCGCAGATCTACTCACCATGCGGCGTGTTTCTATTGTTGTTTTTCCTCTCATGGGCCCGACGAGAAAACTGAGATCGTTGCAGATCAGCCGCCACCGTCGCCGCCACCGTCGCCGCCGCCTGTCGCCCAAGCACTCGGGGGGGGGCCCTGGGCGCGTGGCCCCCCCGGAGCTTTCCCCCGGAGCTAAGGAGGAGGAGGAGGAGGAGGAGGAGGAGGAGGAGGAGGAGGAGGAGGAGGAGGAGGAGGATCAGCGCCTGCTTGGGAGACAGGGTGCGTGCCGCAAGAAAAAGTGGAGGGGTGGGGACTCCAGGCAGCACGCGAGGGCCATCGACCTCTCGGCTTAGGCGAAAGTGGCTCACGCGCCATCTGGGCAAGCAGTGAGTGGAATCCGACTGGCTTTACTTGCATCTGGAGTGAATTGATGCCAAACGAAAGGTGTTGCAGACAGGGTTTCCCTTAGCAGTACAGGCTAAAGATACACCTCACATTGCCGAAAAATGTGAGAAGCAACACAAGGAGAGCGGGGAAGACTAATCCCGCGGACCTCTCCGCTTCAACTGGGCAATAATCGCGGGACCTCTGCCTCGCTCCTGAAATTTAGAAACCATCCTGTGCCGCATTATCGGCACTTTGTTCAGTCCTGGGACACTGCAACACAAGGCATCTTGCACAACTGATTCTGCTGGCCAGCCGCCTCAGGGGCTGGCAGAAAGGGTAAAACAGTGCTCGGCATCTTTGAACCATGCTGTATATAGAGACACTCTGTGAGGCGATGCCCTTGCGGCACCTCATCCCACCGTCTACCTGGGACCGCGTCCTGGCACGGCGAGGCTTTGAGCGATCCCGCAGGACCTCATCTCACCGTTTACCAGGGACTGCGTCCTGGCACGGCGAGGCTTCTGAGCGATCCCGCAGGACCTCATCCCACCGTCTATCAGGGACAGCGTCCTGGCACGGCGGGGCACTCTTGAACGATACCTTTCTCGGTGAATTCCTGGCCGCTCAGCTTGAGCTTCAAGCGGACTGGCAAGAACTCGCAATCAGGTTCGATTATGATATCGAACGCTAGCGGGATGCTCGCCTCTGATGTCGGCGAACGCATCGGGCTCGCCAGCCCGCGGTGGGATGCTCGCCCGCTGCGAACGCATCGGGCCCACCGCGGAACGGAACTCGAGATTGCCGAAGGAGAACTTGACGTGCTCGCAGTGGCAGCGCTGCGCCACGTGATGGTGTTGCCAGTGCCTGGGACCACGAAGCACATCGGGGCCATGAGGAAGGCGTAGCTGAACGGGTCCAGCTTGAAGTTGCTGCTCATGGCCCTGGGCGCGGCGACGACGGCTTTCGCAAAGAAGGCCACCTGGGATTTGTCCTGCAGCACGGGGCCGAGGAACTCGGAGTTGAGATCCTTGTGAGCGCAGGGTGAAAAGCCATTGATGACCCAAGTGATCACGAAGACGCACTGGTGGTTGGGGCGCTGTGGCCTGGCAGCGCGTCGTAGGTGAAGACGAGCACGACGTTCGACTTCTTCATGACCTGCAGGAACGCGACGTTGCAGCACAGGTAGGCCTTGATGGAGCCGTGCAGCATGATCGCGTGGAGGAAGCCGGTGGGCGCCGGGAGAGTTCAAGCAGGGAAGTGTGGACATGCCTCTTCCGTACGGAGCGAACGGAGCAGGCCACGATGGCCTCAAGTGGCCAAGATGCGCAGGAGCCTTGAGCCGGATGGCTTGAGCCAAACTGGCTACGGGGGAGGAGGAGGAGGAGGAGGAGGAGGAGGAGGAGGAGGAGGAGGAGGAGGAGGAGGAGGAGGAGGAGGAGGAGGAGGAGGAGGGGAGGGGGAGGAGGAGGAGGAGGAGGAGGAGGGAGCAGGAGGAGGAGGAGGAGGAGGCGGAGGAGCCCATCCCTGTGGGGACGGCTGCTGCTCTTTCCGGGCCTGCCCGGGAGAGGCGACGGGGGGCCCTGTGGAGCCCACCTGGCCAGGGCTCGGTTCGACTCTTCCGACTCGATCCGCTTCTTTTTCGACGGCTTCCGATTCCCGAATCGATCTGACGTGGGATTCCGATTTATCGGTATCGTTCAACCGATCCCCATCAACATCCCCATCCCCTTCGAGACCCCCACCAAATTACCACCCCAGTTGGGATACACCCCGCAACGACTTATATCCCCATCTGGGGGCGTAAATCGGCCAGTGGAGCCCAGGCCACGCCGCTGGGGATGGGGATCGGTGAAACGATATTCAATTTGGGCTCCGACTTCTTGTTGGAGGCATTCTAGCCTGCCGACTCCCGACTCCGCCGCCGATCTCCGCCGATCCGATTCCTTTCGATCGCCGGTTCGACCTGCCGAGTCGATGCTGGGCCCTCTTGCCCACCCCGCGGCCCGGGCCGCGGGGGAGCGGCCCCCGCGAGATGCTGTGCGCGGGGCGCCGGAGGTCGTCGGGGCCCCCTCGCAATCGGCCTTCGGACCCTCTCCTCCTCCTCCTCCTCCTCCTCCTCCTCCTCCTCCTCCTCCTCCTCCTCCTTCTGACCCTGACCTTCCAGAGTGCAACAAAAATAGCAATCCAGACCTGTAGATCTGACTGGACCGCCCCAGGCCTCGACGGGAGTCAGGGCGTCGACGTCCTGCTGTTATTTTTCAGCCCTCCTGGGACTCCTGGAAGGTCAGGGGAAGCTTTGCCGCTGCCCCTCGCGATGTGGTGCGCGGGGCGCTGGGGGGCGTCGGAAGCCCCCCGCCACAGACCCTCTCCTCCTCCTCCTCCTCCTCCTCCTCCTCCTCCTCCTCCTCCTCCTCCTCCTCCTCCTCCTCCTCCTCCTCCTCCTCCTCCTCCTCCCTGTGGCGCACCGCGATCAGGATCTCGAGGTGAGTCTGGCCGAGGGTTGCGAGGGGTCCTCCAAGTCGGGCGATCGCAAACATGGATGAAGGGGGCGTGGATTAGCGACGGGTCCCGTTTCCATGGGAAATCGCAGAGTTCCGACGCCGAGCGAGGCGGCACCGGCCGCATTGGGGAGGGCACCTCCCCCGATCCATGGATTTGGCGACCGCGCGCCAAATCCATTGCAACACAAACATAACAAACAACGACAAATAACTAATAACACAGCAGCAAAACAAGCAGCAAAACAAGCAACGTCGAACACAAGAGGACAAGCGGATCAAGAGCCAGTTACGTCTCTTCTGCCTCCGCCCGACTGCTGTCTGGAGACGAGGCCTCGGGAGGTCCTCAGAGGAAGCTGGATGCCGGCGGTCCTCGGGCCGGGGGGGGGCCAAGAACGTCTTGAGACCTCGATCAGAGTCATGCCATCGTCGTCGTTCAGGGGATGCCCGTAGCCACTTTGGCTCAAGGGCGCCTGATCTCTCTCCTGAAGAAGTGAGAAGGACTACAATTATCAGCCGATGGCGCTCCTCATCGCCGCCGTCTCGCTGCTAGCACTCGTGCACGCTTCGGGCCCGCAGGCGTCCTGCGCCGTAGGGCAGCAGTGCGCCGCCGGAGAGCAGGATGACACTGGCATGCTCCAGAAGAGCTCGCAGATGATACAGGTGAATCGACATGAGCAATTGAGCGTGAAGCCGACGCCCACGAACGACGCCGAGTGCAAGGCCGTGCAGGGCATCAACACGGGCCTGCCCATCGTCTATGACTCCAGCTGCCCCGTCCTGTGCTGCTTCGAGGACCAGCCGTGCAGGTACAACAACACGGGCTGCTACTTGGCGGCCTTGGCGCAGCAGAAGGTGAGGACGACGCCCACGAACGACGCCGAGTGCAAGGCCGTGCAGGGCATCGGCAAGGGCCTGCCCATCGTCTATGACTCCAGCTGCACTGGCCTGTGCTGCTTCGAGGACCAACAGTACAGGTACGACAACACGGGCTGCTACTCCGCGGCCTTGGCGCAGCAGAAGGTGAGGACGACGCCAACGAGGACGCCGAGGGCAAGGCAGTGCCAGGCATCAGCAAGGGCCTGCCCATCGTCCACGACTCCAGCTGCCCTGGCCTGTGCTGCTTCGAGGACCAGCCGTGCAGGTGCAACGGCACGGGTTGCTACTCCGTGGCCTTGGCGCAGCAGAAGGTGAGGACGACGCCTACGAACGACGCCGAGTGCAAGGCAGTGCCAGGCATCAGCAAGGGCCTGCCCATCGCCTACGACTCCAGCTGCCCCGGCCTGTGCTGCTTCGAGGACCAGCCGTGCAGGTACAACAACAGGGGTTGCTACTCCGCGGCCTTGGCGCAGCAGGAGGTGAGGAGGACGCCCACGAACGACGCCGAGTGCAAGGCAGTGCCAGGCATCGACAAGGGCCTGCCCATCGCCTACGACTCCAGCGGCCCTGGCTTGTGCTGCTTCGAGGACCAGCCGTGCAGGTACAACAACACGGGCTGCTACTCCGCGGCCTTGGCGCAGCAGAAGGTGAGGGCGACGCCCACGAACGAAGCCCAGTGCAAGGCAGTGCCAGGCATCAGCAAGGGCCTGCCCATCGTCTACGACTTCAGCTCCCCTGGCCTGTGCTGCTTCGAGGACCAGCCGTGCAGGTACAACAACGCGGGCTGCTACTCCGCGGCCTTGGCGCAGCAGAAGGTGAGGACGACGCCTACGAACGACGCCGAGTGCAAGGCAGTGCCAGGCATCAGCAAGGGCCTGCCCATCGTCTACGACTCCAGCTGCCCTGGCCTGTGCTGCTTCGAGGACCAGCCGTGCAGGTGCAACGGCACGTGCTGCTACTCCGCGGCCTTGGCACAGCAGAAGGTGAGGACAACGCTCACGAACGACGCCGAGTGCAAGGCAGAGCCAGGCATCAACAAGGGCCTACCCATCGTCTACGACTCCAGCTGCCCTGGCCTGTGCTGCTTCGAGGACCAGCCGTGCAGGTGCAACAACACGGGCTGCTACTCCGCGGCCGTGGCGCAGCAGAAGGTGAGGACGACGCCCACGAACGACGCCGAGTGCAAGGCAGTGCCTGGCATCACTGGGGCCTGCCCATCGCCTACGACTCCAGCTGCCCTGGCCTGTGCTGCTTCGAGGACCAGCCGTGCAGGTGCAACGGCACGTGCTGCTACTCCGCGGCCTTGGCGCAGCAGAAGGTGAGGACGACGCCCGCGAACGGTGCCGAGTGCAAGGCAGTGCCAGGCATCAAGGGCCTGCCCAACGTCTGCGACTCCAGCTGCCCTGGCCTGTGCTGCTTCGAGGACTAGCCGTGATGGTCCAACAGCGCGGGCTGCTACTCCGCGGCCTTGGCGCAGCAGAAGGCGAGGGCGACGCCCGCGAACGACGCCAAGTGCAAGGCAGTGCCAGGCATCAACAAAGGCCTGCCCATCGTCTACGACTCCAGCTGCCCTGGCCCGAGCAGCTTCGAGGACCAGCCGTGCAGATGTAACGCCACGGGCTGCCACTCCGCGGCCTTGGCGCAGCAGAAGGCGAGGGCGACGCCCACGAACGAAGTCGAGTGCAAGGCAGTGCCAGGCATCGACAAGGCCCTCCCATCGTCTACGATTCCAGCAGCCCTGGCCTGTGCTGCTTCGAGGACCAGCCGTGCAGGTGCAACGACGCGGGCTGCTGCTCCGCGGCCTTGGCGCAGCAGAAGGCGAGGGCGACGCCCACGAATGACGCCGAGTGCATGGCAGTGCCAGGCATCAGCAAGGGCCTGCCCATTCCATCGTCTACGACTTCAGCAGCCCTGGCCAGTGCTGTTTCGAGGACCAGCCGTGCAGGCACAACAACGCGGTCCGCTACTCCGCGGTCTTGGCGCAGCAGAAGGTGAGGACGACGCCCGCGAACGACGCCGAGTGCAAGGCAGTGCCTGGCATCAGCAGGGGCCTGCCCATCGTCTACGACTCCAGCTGCCCTGGCCTGTGCTGCTTCGAGGACGAGCCGCGCAGGCGCAAGACCACGGGCTGCTACTCCGCGGCCTTGGCGCAGCAGGAGGTGAAGATGACGCCCGCGAACGACGCCCAGGGCAAGGCAGTGCCAGGCATCAAAAAGGGCCTGCCCATCGTCTACGACACCAATTGCCCTGGCCTGTGTTGCTTCGAGGACCAGCCGTGCAGGTGCAACAACACGGGCTGCTACTCCGCGACCTTGGCGCAGCAGGAGGTGAGGACGACGCCCGCGAACGACGCCGAGTGCAAGGCAGTGCCAGGCATCAACAAGGGCCTGCCCGTCGTCCACGACTCCAGCAGCCCTGGCCTGTGCTGCTTCGAGGACCAGCCGTGCAGGTGCAACGGCACGGGCTGCTACTCCGTGGCCTTGGCGCAGCAAGAGGTGAGGGCAACGCCCGCGAACGACGCCGTCGACCCCAGCTACCCTGGCCTGTGTTGCTTCGAGGACCAGCCGTGCAGGTGCAACAACACGAGCTGCTACTCCGCGGCCTTGGCGCAGCAGAAGGTGAGGGCGACGCCCGCGAACGACGCCGAGTGCAATGCAGCGCGAGGCATCAACAAGGGCCTGCCCATCGTCTACGACTCCAGCTGCCCTGGCCTGTGTTGCTTCGAGGACCAGCCGTGCAGGTACAACAAGCGGGGCTGCTACTGAGGAGAGAGTTGCTCTGTGGTATGGGTGGTCCAGATTTATTGCCGATAGTGCATTGTGAGTGCGGCATATGGATCGCCTGCGTGACACAGCAACAGTTTGTCGTGGATTGTGCCAACTCAGGCAGCGTCGGATTGGCGTTCTGCAGCTTTAGCATTCCCAGAGGACCATGCGAAGCTTGACCGTTTGATGTAAGCATGCTTGGTGTGCCCAATGTCCACGGCGCAACCACATTTATACTTGGTGCTTGTTCTGTGTTCCGACTCCTGGACCGACATGTCTTGGTACACTTGTGCGGAGGGGCCGCTTCTTCTTGCTGCCAGCTTTGCGCACGTGTGGTCTTGTCACGGGAGAGACTGGTCAGAGCAAGGCACTTGCGGATTGGTCAAAAAATCAAAATTCGCCGTCGTTCAAGGGGCCCAGGAGATCCATTCGCCCAGCTTTGTCGTTGTCCAGGAGATCCAGGCCCCCAGATCCAGGAGATACAGGAGATCCAGGATATCGTCGTTATTTGTCGTCGTCCAGGAGATCTTGGGCCCCCCCCAAGTTCTCGAGGCTCCCGGTTTTCGGTCCTCGATCCTGGAGCCACTCTCCGCTGTCGTTCCAAGACCCTTCGCGTCGCGATTTCTCAGTGCGGGGTCCCTTGTCCTCCCGACCACGTCCCTGGGACAACCGCTCTACCCCAAACAGAGTTTTGAGCGTTCCCGGGGCCCCCCAGAGGCCAACAAGCTATAGAACTGTTCGTCGCTTGTCCGACATCGTTTCCAGCGGCGGAGGGCTAGGTTGTCCGTTGTCGCCCAGCGTCGTCGTCATATGGCAGGTGCTCTGCCCGGCGGCCGACGACCTGAGCCACTACGGGGCCAAGTGCTTGGTTGAGCTGGACCGCGGCCTGGCGGTGCGCCGGCGCCGGGGGCCCCGGCGTCGCCGCCGCCGCTACTGCCGCCGCTGCCGTCGTTGTCGTCGTCGGCAGCCGAAGCCTCGGCGTTAGCGTCGTCGTCGTCGAGGGGGGAACTGAGAAACGAGAGGGGCGGGGAAAGGGAGGGGTAACAGGGCGGTCTGCAATCACATGGTCAGGGACTCGAATCTTAGTGGCACTGCAGAGCAAGAGTGGTTACAGCAGGTTTGCGGCGTGTCCACGCGGCGGCGACCCCAGCGCGGGCGTTCAAAGTTGAACGCACCAGTGGGCCAGAACCGGCCAAGATGGTCGATTTGATGATCAAGAATTTGCTGATCTTTCAAGACTGACGATCCAGGCAGTGCCAGAACCGACGACCCGACCCTGCTGCATCCCCACTGTGCGCTCAGCTCCCCGACCATGGCGCGATTGCGAAAGTTTGCCGTGCGACTGGGGCGGGGAGCGCAGTCGGCCAATCGATTTTTCGAATGAGAACTACAGTGGAGGCCCACGCCAAGAAACACCCTGCTTGCCTCCAGGGTGCCCTGGGCTTCTTGGGTCTTCTGATGGTTCTGCCGTGGAGGGCGCGACGTTCCCACACCAGAGGTCCGTGGACGTCCTGGGGTCTCAGGGTTGGGCTTCTGCTTCTTGTGGCAGTCGAAGAAAAACCCACATAAACATTTTACGTCTGGCGCTGCGCGCGGATTTCTTGGATCCGCGCCTGGGCCCCCCGGCGGCGCGCGCCAGGGAGGGGGGTCCAGCGCGAATCCGAGAAGTCCACGCGGAGCGCCAAGCGTTTTTGTGTTTATCTGCTGTTTTTTCTTCTTCTATTGTGGCAGGTTCCTTGTGGACTGGCCTCCGCTGCACCTGCACCAGCGCGGGGATCTGCCGCAGCTCCGCGGGGGGTCTCTCTGGAGCGGCGCCCGGGCTCTCCCCTGGCCACTCTCCCGGCGGGCACAGGCCCCTGGCGGGCTCCGCGCGCCGATCCAGGAGTTTCATGTCGGGCGTGTCCCTCTACAGGGCAACGCTCAACAACAGTCCAGAACCAGCAAGGGCACGATGTTGTTGAGTGCTTTTTGACTATGCTTGGGTAGTTCTTGGGTGTGTTGTTTCTCTTCCCTCCAAAATCCGCCCGTAGGGGGACATATACCCGACCTAGCATGAAGTCGGAGGCCCGGCGTGAGCGGCGGTGCGGGTGCAGCAGCGTGTACCGAACCCGGGCGACATATGAGCGACGCAAAAAACGGGGTAGTCTGCGCCGACTTTAGGTCGCGCGTAGGCGGTCGCGAAGATCATCGCACGTCGCGATGCGCGGTGCGCAAAGTTGGGTGACCTGGGACCCTGCGTTCCGACGACGCGAAAACATTGCAGCATCGCGAAACGTCACGGCCGGTGCCCCAGACCTCTCTGTGGGTTCTTCTGGGCCGGATCGATTTGTGAGTCACTGAGCGCGTTCCAGTACTCGCAAGGTGCCTACTCGCAAACTTTAGAAACATATGTGGCTTCCTCGATGTAATGGATCGTAAGTCCCCAGCGGTGGATCCAAGCCGTTTGCGAGCAGTTCCTCTGCGAGTCGTGGAGCGCGCTTGTTTGGTGCAGGTCCTGGGGGGCCCGAAGCGGGGCGACAACGCCTGGCGCGAAAAGCAGCTGCAGCGCCCAGATCGAAGGGCCAGAAGCGGAGTGGTCAGGGGGAGAGGCTGTTCGGGTGAGGGGACCCGGTTAGTGGTAGTGCCCCAGAGCTCTAACTTGGCCAGAATCGCTGAGCCAGGTCTGCCGTAGTTGGTGTTTTTTCAGGTGACGGCAGTTCTGGTCAGTGGAACGGGGCGGGGGGGGGGGCGTCCCCCAGTACACATCATTAATCCAGGTCCCATGAAACCCAGTTCTACCAAAGCCCGAGCTGAGCCCAGACGGAGCAAGCCTCGACGGAGGCCGCGCAGTCCGCGCGGCCCCCTTCCGCACGGGCTCGGCATCTTGCCTGGAGATGCACGCAGCCGGACCGAGGTGTAATTAGGATCGAGGGCGTCTCGGGGAGGGTGCCTTCATGCTCTTCGTGCTTGCTGGATGTTCCTGTGCACCCTGGGGAGGGTACTCTGGGTTTCTTAATAAGCGTGGGGAGTACCCCCCCGACGGGGCTCAACCTCGCCTCGTCGTCGCGCCGCGACGGGGGTCGGAGCGCGTTCGGCGCGCGGTGGCTGCCCGCGACGGGGGTCGACGTGGGGCTGTCGGCGGGGGTGACGCCCCCCCGACGCTTAGTAAGAACCTCGGAGCACCCTCGAGTGGTCTCGGGCTCTGGGGTGCCTTGGCCGGCGGAGGGTCTCCTGCTCGTGAGGAGGCTGCTCTCCTGGCCCAGGTCCGACTGCAGCCCAGATGGAGTGTGAGCCCAGACGGAGGCCGAGCTCTCCCGGCGGACCGACTCCGCACGGACTCGGCGCCCTCTCCGCGGCAGAGGGGCAGCAGCAGCCGCCGCCGCAGCCGCCGCCCGCCCCCCCCCCGCAGGCCTCGGGCAGCCTCCGCCTGCTGCGGCTGTCCCCCGCCACGTGCTCGCCGAAGCACCACGTGGTGGTCGTCGAGCGGACCCCCCGCGAGGCGGGCGCGGCGCTGACTGATCCACCACAGGTGGTGCATCATGCCGCGTCGTCGCCACCGTTGCCGCGACAATCGCGACCATCGTCGCCACGTCCAGGCCATCGCCGTCATCACCATGACCCTGACAGTCTGCACCGCCACTGCAGGAACTCGCCGTGTTGGCAGGGCGGCCCGCGCCGCCCGTGCCGCTGGAGCTCTCTGGGGCAGGGCCCGCCTCGAGTTCGAGACGGGCCCGGAGTTCCCTGTTCCCTGGGTCTCGGTGTCGTTTGACCGATCCCTGTCCCCATCCCCATCCACATCTCGAGCCCCACCGTCTCACCACCTCAGTTGGGGACATGCCCCTCAAACCCGAGGAGAGCAGCCCATATCCCCACGCTGGTGTTGATGGGGATCGGTCAAAAGATGCTCTGTCGTGGAGCCGTCGACGACGACGACGCCGCCGACGACGACGCCTGCGAAGAAGGGGCAATACACGTCTCGGAGCCGCCTGGGGGTCTGAGGCGGCCCAGCAGTAAGTCGGGCGTGTCCCTCTACAGCGAGAATATCCAAACAGAAATAATATAAAAGTAGTCTGATAACGTTGTTTTTTTAAAATATGTTTTGACTATTTTTGACTATCTGTTGTCTATTTGTACTTATTCCTCCACCGTCGGCCTGTGGGGGGACATGTCCGACCCAAGCCCAGCACTGGTTCTGGTCTACAGGAAGGGGGTGGCAAGGTTCGAGGCTGGTCGGGAAACGGTGTTTGTTGAATTCTTATTTTTACCGGATAATCCTTTCTGATTTCTCCACGGGTGCTCGCACCCTGTTTCTCATTCCACAAAGGGTTTTCTGTGGGCACCAGGTTGTGTCGTCGGCCTCCGGTTTGCAATAGCAGCGGCTCCCGCCTGATACTTCACCACAAAACAATTCCATTTCGCGCTCTCGCACGAGACTTCCTCATAATTCATGCAGGAATCGCGCTCTCGCGTGGTACTAGTCTCGCTCTCGCGTGGGACTTCCTTACAATTTATCCAGACGCCGCGCCCTCGACACTCGGGAATCACTCTCTCGCCTTGGTATCTCTTACGATTTATTTGGGAATCGCGCTATCGCTCGAGACGTCCTCGTGATTCATGCAGGACTCACGCTTCAGCAGCCCGCCTGCTGGACCTGGCCGCCTGGGTTTCTTCACGACCTGCCCGCTAGGGTCTGCCCGCCTGATCAGCCACGTGCGTTCTGCTCATCGTCCTTTTCCTACTAATTTCGTTTGTTATCCGTCATGCCCCCTCCCCCTTCCATCCGTCCTCTCTTCCCTTGTTTTAGGGCCTGCGCTAATTGCACGTGGCAAGTAAGGAAGATATATCCCCAAGGGGGTACGATTGAAGATCAAGAGTGCGGCTACCGAGGGTTTGGGATATACGTGGTGAATAGCACGCGAGCACGTAGGAGCGAGCAGTCTTACAGTGAGTGTTGTTGTTGTTGTTGTTGCTGCTGTTGCCGCTGCTGCTGTTGTCGTTGTTGCTGCTGCTGCTGTTGTTCAGCTCTCATTCCTAAAGAACAGCTATTGTTGATCCCCCTCAGGTAACCATTGCATTTCTCTATTAAGGAGCTCCTCTGGAGGCTCGCGTTTTTTTCTACAAGGGGAAGTGGGTGTCACGCAATATTCGTGTCCATGGGGGGCAAGATTTGTCCGTTTCAGCCAGCGCCTACTGTAAGCAGCAACGTAATCGTGGCGAGGCCCGAAGCCGTCCTCCCCGACTGGCGTTTCGGCCACGTTCGTAGGAAAGCCTCGCGGCGAGCATGATAATTACCAGCACGCTTAGCTAGGGGAGTTGTGTGTATTATCGCGGTCCGCTCCCATCTCGTGCTCCTCCCCCGAGAAATGGCCCATTGAGACCCCCCTCGTTCATTTTGAGCCACACTTTTGTAATGGCTTCCTCTGCTATTGCCATGGCTTCCTCTCTCTTGCAATGGCTTCCTCTACTATTTCAATAATAGAGAATCTTGGGATAGGACATACTTGAGTAGACTAGAGTAGAGGAGAGTAGAGCAGAGTATAGTTGGGTAGGAGCAGGGTCGAGTAGGAGTAGAGCGGAGCGGATTGGAGTAGAGAAGAGTAGAGTAGAGTAGGGCAGGATAGGGTAGAGTAGATTGGTGTAGTGGAGAGTCGTGGAGAATAGGGTGGCTCGTATAATAGAGGTGATTAGGATAGTCAAGTACGAGTCGGGCAGCGTAGAGCAAGAGTATACTCGGGTAGAGTCGGTCAGGTCAGGGTAGGGAAGGGTACACTAGGGGCGAGTCGAGTAAATTATAATGGAGTAGCGCAGGGTGGAGTGGGGTAGATGGTAGTGTTGAGTAGACCAGCGTAGAGCAGAGAAGGCTAGAGTAGCGCATAGTAGAGTAGAACCCAGTTGAAGTATCACCGAGTAGAGTTTCGTGTAGTATTCTACAGTGCAGTATATTATGGTCGAGTGGCGTAGGGACGAGTAGCGGAGGGCAGAGTAGCGCAGAGTAGAGTAGGATAGCTGGTATGTTAGGGTCGGGTATAGTAGAGTAGGATCGAATATAATACAGTAGAGAAGAGTCGAGTATGAGTAGAGTACAGCAGGAGTAGAGTAGAGTGGAGCAGAGCAGAACACAGTCGAGTACAATATTTTAGAGTAGGAGTAGAGTGGAGTAGAGTAGGGTTGGAGTAGGAGTAGAGTAGGAGCAAAGCAGGAGTAGAGTAGGAATAGAGCAGAGCAGAGCTGGCTCGGGTAGGCTCGGTTAGGGTAGAGTAGAGTCGGGTAGAATAGAGCATCGTAGAGCAGAGCAGGGCAGACGGTTGAGAAGAGCCACTTTGTGTAGAGCAGAGTGGAGCAGAGTCCACCCCAGTCCAGTCCAGTCCAGTCCACACCCGTCCCTTCTGCCTCGGCCCACTCCGGCCCACCTCATGCCAGCCTTCCGATCCTCGTTTCCGTTCCCTTTTTGGCTCAGGTTGCGGCCCCCGGTGGCGGCAGCTGGCGGCCCCGCGCGGGCGTCCCAGGGGGAAGCAGGGCGGAGGCCTCGACGGCAGCCCCCCGTTCGGCGGCGGCGGCGGGCGATGACCGGCGAGGGGGCTGCGCAGGATCGCTCGGTGGCAAATCATACGAGCTTCTATGTTCAGGCCTCCTAGGTGGGGTCGGAGTAAATGGGGTCGAAAGATCGCGGCGCATCGCCGATGAATCGCCGATGCGGCTCGATGTGGAGCCCGACTTGCTTCACGTCGACGTCGCCGATGCATCGCCCACGTCTGCATCGCCGATGCATCGCCGATACGGCGCGATCCTCCGACCCCGTCTACTCCGACCCATCTAGGATGCCTTTACGGGGCTAGGACGAGGATTCATACAGTCCAGAGAGTTCCGCCGGATCTCAGAGATTGAAGTTGTCCTCACCCGAATTTGTCCTCGTCCTTACTTCGTCTTAGTTGCCACCGAAGGAGGCGGTTTCGGTAGCAAATCATGGGAGCCTGGCGAACCCTCCCAACTCTCTCAATTCTGTCTTCAGCGTCGATCTAGCGTCTGGGAGCAGATGAGATAGCGCCGCTTCAGCGTCGGCTCGCGTCGATTTAGCGTCGATTTGGCGTCGATTTCGCGGCGTCGATCTAGCGCCGACTGGCGTCGATTCGCGAGGGCCGACAAGATGGTGCGGGAGGCTCCCGTGAGTTTTCACCGCAGGAGGCGACGACTCGGCCTGCCCCCCCGGCCGCCGGGCGCCAGGCGGCGCCCGCCGCCGCCGCGGAGATGGCCCCGCTGCCCCCGCCCCGCGGCCGCGCGGCCGCGGGGCCCGCGGGCGCCCCGGAGGGAGGCGCCATGCCGCCGCCGCCGAGGCTCCGGGGGGGTAGTCGGAGGAGGGCAAGATACCGTTTTGTTGTTGTTGTCGTTGTTGTCGTTGTTGTTGTTGTTGCTGCTGCTGCTGTTGTTGTTGTTGTTGTTGTTGTTGTTGTTGTTTGGTAATGTTGGTGCTTTTGTGGTGGTTGTTGGTTGTTGTTGTTGGCGTCGTTTGTTGTTGTGGTTGTTGTTGGTGTTGTTGGTGGTGTTGTTTGTTTGCTGTCATTGTTGTTGTGGTGGTTGTGGTTGTTGTTGTTGTTGTTGTTGTTGTTGTTGTTGTTGTTGTTGTTGTAGTTCGTGTTACTGGTTGTTTGTTGTTGTTACCATTACTATTATTATTGATGTGGTTGTTGTTGTTTGCGTTGTTGTGGTTGTTTGTTGTTGCTGTTTTTGTTGTTATTGTTGTTGTTGCTGCTGTTGTTGTTGCTGTTGTTGTTGCTGTTGTTGTTGTTGTTGTTGTTGTTGATGCTTTTGATGTTTGTTGTGGTTGATGTTTGTTGTTGAACTCGCATTACTGAAGAATGGTTGTTGCTGATCCCCCCCTCTGGTGAGCACTGTGTTTTTCTATTGGAGTGCTTCCCCCAGGGCTCGCACCCTGTTTTTTTATCAGGGAAAGCCACTCGGATCAAACTGTGTTGTTGGTCCCCTGTTTACAACAACAACGGTTCCCGCCTGAGACGTTCTCAACATTTTGCCAGGACCCCCGCTCCCGCCTGAGACGTCCTCACACTTTACTTAGGGATCGCTCTCTCGCTTGGGACGTCCTTGCAATTTTCAGGAATCGCTCTCTCGGCGCTCTGGAGTCGCCCTCTCGCTGGAGACGTGCTTGCAACTTGATCAAGAATCGCGCTCTTGCGTTGGAATTCCCCGCAACTTACTCAAGCGCCGCGCTCCCGACACTCAGGCATCCAGGAGTCGCGCTCACGCTTAGGACTCCCTCACAGCTTATTCAGGAATCGGGATCTCGCCCGCGGCCGAGCGCCCAAAGTTTATGTTTATGCCGTGCTTCCTCCTTGTAATCACACCGGTCCGCCTCGAAAGATGCCGCAGAAGGACGTGGGTTCTGGGGCTGATGTCGCGATTGCCTGACATTCACCGAGCGCCTTCTAAACGTCCTGGGAAAACAGGTTCGCCGCGATGCAACTAATGTGTCGTAGATCCTCCTCGGCGGACTCAGGCCATTTGCGAGCAGCGTCTAGATATAGAGGTCTGGGGCTCCGGTCGTACTCGTCTGAGATGCTGATGCTGCCACCGACTCGCAGCGCGGGGGATCTCTCGGGCCCCTGCCGAGATGGGCTGGACTTCCCTCGACGTTTCGGTCAGGACGCACCCTGGGGGGGAGTCAGCCGCGCGCAGAGGGATGCGGGGGGAGGCGGGAAGGGCTTCTGAGAAGCGCCCCTGCAGAATGTGAGGCCGGCGCCTTCTAAGGAGCAGGGGTGCTTCTGAGGAGCCCTCCCCCCAGGTCCCTCCGCCCCTCTGGTGCGCGCCGCCGCGAGAGGGTCCGCGGAGCGGCCCCGCGCGCCGCGCCGGTGGAGAGGAGGATTTGGGAGGAGGAGGCCAAGGCGGGGGGGACGGGCGTGCGTCCGCGGAGGGCCTCGGCGTGGGCGCTGCGTGCGCCGAGGTGGCACACGGGGCACGGTGCCCCCCTCACTCGGGGGAGGAGGGGGCGGGGAGGAGGATCCTGGGAGGAGGGAGGAGGGAGGAGAACGAGCACGAGCGATTCGAGCGCAGGATGCCACCCACCGAGCTCGCTGTCGAAGTGCCCGAAGCACCCGACGAACCGGAAGGTGAAGCACCAGGACAAGCAGTACGAGGGGCCCGAGGACATGCGACGCGAGGCCCAGGTAACACGTGCGCTGGTTGCGCGAAACGTGAATAGAGTCCAAAGCCACATAACTATGCCAAGGATGAATACCTCCAGGTGAAACCATCAGGCTAAGGTGAGATGAGTTCTACTCGATACAGCCCATACCAAGACACCTCAGATCAGCGTGCAACTTCAAAAGAACCCGTCTCCCCCGCAAACTGCCTCGCAACTGCCAACACACATGGAACAAGTTCTTCCCCCGATACCTGTCCAAGTTGAACGACCGTGACACTAATCATGCACGGGACGTCTAAAACACGGAAGAAGCCACTCGACCAAAGCACACATCATGACAGTTGGAACCACCAACCATTGATGCACGGCTCAGAATGCGGACGGCGGGCACGTCCCACCCAGGCAGATAAAGTGAAGGCGACATGCGAAACTCGTGATCGCAAAGGCCACCACAAACGGCTCGGCTCAGAATGCGGACGGCCGACACGTCCCCAGCCCACGAACTTAGAAAGCGCCAGGCACTGACAGAACAGTATTGAAATACGAACTGACATGCTGCAATAAACGAGCAATGAGGAGGAGGAGGAGGAGGAGGAGGAGGAGGAGGAGGAGGAGGAGGAGGAGGAGGAGGAGGAGGAGGAGGAGGAGGAGGAGGAGGAGAGAGGAGGAGAGAGAAGTAGGGGGAGGAGGAGAAGGTTGAGGAGGGGGAGGAGGAGGGAAGAGGAGGAGGAGGAGGAGGAGGAGGAGGAGGAGCTGGCCCATGACAGCAATGATACTGATAACACGCCGAGGGGCCGCGCCTTGCTCCCACCTGCCTGCCTGCCCGCTGCCACCAGAAGAAGCCTTCCTCGCGCCCTCCTCCTCCCAGCTCCCCCATCCTCCTCCACCTCCTCCTCCTCGTCTTCCTCCTCTTCCTCCTCTTCCTCCTCCTCCTCCTCCTCCTCCTCCTCCTCCTCCTCCCCCTTCACCTCCACCTCCTCCTGGTTCTGGTTCTGGTTGAGGCGCACCCAAGTGGGGCGCGTTGGTGCCGAAGCCCCGGGCAAAGGGCAGGCATGAACAGTCCCGAGTAGGGCGCTGGCAGTGGGGCAAGTGCCCGGCGCGCGTGCCCGCTCCCAGGGGGGCCGGGTGTCGCTTCATGCGAGACAGTTGTAGGGGCCCCCTGGGAGCCGCGCCTGCCACGCCACCAAATGGCGGAGCGCCAGTGCGCGAGCGCGAGTGCGCGTGCTGCCAACTGGCGGCGACGAAACAGGGAACCTCGTCGTCCTCCACCACCCCGCCACAGCTCCACCACCACCAGCCAGGCGAGGGCGGCGGGACGGGGCGCCCCGGGGGGGGGGCAGCCGGGAGGGCGACAGGACGACGGCGACGACAGGAGACGACGAGGGCGACGCCGACGAGAAGCAACGGCGACGACGACGACGACGGCGAGGGCGACGAAGACGAAGGCGACGGCGACGAAGACGACAACGACGGCGACAGCGGCGGCGAACGCAGCGACGACGACGACAGCCAAGGGACACGCAACGCCCATTTCCAGAAGCGAAAAAAGGAAGCGAGTGCCCGGGGCGCGCGCGGCTAGCCCCGGGGCCGGCGGCCGCGCTCTGCGCTCCGGGAGCGGCAGGAGGAGCTCAGGCGGGGGCGGCGGCGGCGGCGGGAGGCAGCGGCCGGGGGCGCCCCAGCAGCCTCAGGGCGACGACGACGACGACACGACGACGACGACGACGACGACGACGACGACGACGACACGACGACGACGACGACGACGACGACGAAGACGACGACGACGACGACGACGACGACGACGACGACGACAGCAAAGGCGGCGACGGCGGCGGCGGCGGCGGCGGCAGCAGCGGCGGCGGCGGCGACGGCGGCGGCGGCGGCGGAGGCGGCGGAGGCGGCGGCGGCGGCGGAGGCGGCGGCGGCGGCGGCGGGAGGCCCCGGCCGGGGTGGCAGCAGCAGCAGCCGTCGGAGGGGCAGCGGCGGCCAGGCCCGTGGCGGCAGCAGGAGCGTGGAGGGCCAGCGCGGGCGGCGCGCCCAGAGCGCTGGGCGGGGGCGGAGGCGCCGCGGCGGCGTGGGGCCGGGGCTGGTTCCCAACCCAGGGGACGGTCCACGCAAGCACTGCTTCGAGGAGCCGCTCTCGGACCTCCGTGTTGCCGGCGATGGTCAATTTGGCTTTCCGGAGCCAAAAATTGATCACCCCGCCGCCGCCGAGCGGACGGAGCGCCAAGCCGATCCGGGCCCCGTTGGTGCCAAAGAGCCAGAATGCCTGGCGGGAGTCGGTGTAGAGCCCGCAGGCGGCAGCCAACTGAAGGGCCTCTTGCTCCGTGAGCGCGCGCCCGTCAGCACGCGCAGGGAGCCCGCGGCGGAAGCGGGCGCTACCGGGGTCAGCGCCGGTGTAGCGCCGCGAGCGCCGCGAAGAGCCGGAAGGCGCGGGAGGCTGCTGGGGCTGGTGCTGCGCCGGCGCCGCCGGCAAGGAGACGGACGATGAGGGCGGGCCGATGGGCCGCCAGGAGCAGGCGGACGAGGGGGGCAGCGGAGGCGAAGGCAGCACGGGCGCCGCCGGCGGGGGGCCAGACGACGGGGGCGGGCAGCACGGCCGCCCGGAACAGGCCGGCGCAGGCGGAAGAGGCTGGGGCGCGGGCATCCCCAGCGACGCAGGCGGCGGGCCAGAGGAGGACGCAGCGGGGCCGCCCAGAGGCGGAGGGGCGGCGGGCGGACTGCGCCACGGGGGAGTGGCCTGCGACGCCGGTGCCAGGCCCGGGCTGGCCCCCGCAGAACCGCTCGAGCTGCCGCCCGCTGCGCCCGCAGCCCAGCGCAGACTTGCGGCGCGGAGGGCATCAGCGGCACCCTGTGCAGAGCCCCCGTACACCGCCACCAAGGCCTCGGCGACCAAGGGGTCCAGCTAGTTGGCCCCGAGCAGGAGGGTGTGTGGACCACCTCTGCAAGGCCCGCGGGGCGCGCCAGCCGCCCGAAGAGGGCAGCGGCCGCCAAGGCCGCAGGCGCGGCGTGCCCGGGCGCGGCGGCAGCCAAGGACTGAAGAGCAAAGACGAGATCCGAGGAGGGCACCGCCGATGCTCCCACGAGCTCTTGCACCAGGCCAGCGAAGGGCGGACCCATGGATGCATGGGCGAGCCAGCCTGCCAAGGTCTCTGCCGGTAGGAGGCCGACCGCGGCCAGGAGCGCCGGCGAGTAGGCCGAGTTGCAGACGCCAGGGTGCGAGGGCAAAGTGCGCGCAGCTGCCGCCGCCAGCAGTGAGCTGAGAGGCCCCTCGCTGCATGCCGCGTCGCCGCTGCAGTGCGGGGCGCCAGGCGAAGCCGGAGGCGCCAGTGACAGAGGCGAGCCAGGCGCCGCCGACGACGACGACGACGACGACGACGACGAGCTGGACGAGGGCAGAGCAGCGGCGTTCAGGAAGGCCCCGAAGACCGGCGGCGGCGGCACGGGGGCCGCTGCTGGCTCGGCCGGCACACGGCCAGGGGCCATGGCAGACTCGGCGGGGAGACCAGGGAGGCCTGGGACAGTCTCCGCCTCAGGATCCACCTGCGCAGGGGCACCAGTGGGAGGCGCGAGGGCCGCGCCGGCATCTGGCCCCGCCGGTCCGCTGCTGCTGGGTTGGGTCCCGCCTGTTTGGACACCCGAGATAGGTACCGAAAGAATGGGAACAATGCCCAACAACAAAGGCAGACACAAAAACCCACAGCGGCCGCTGTAGGGCAGGCGGCCAGCAAACGCAAAAAGACAAAGGCCGCGGCGGCGAGGACAGCGAACCCAGCTCAGAGGGAACAGGAACTGCTGTTGGGCATCATGCCCATTCTTTCCGTGCCCATCTCGGGCGTCCAGAGCCTGCGCCCGCCGCAGCAGCGCGCGATGGGCTGGGGCACTGCGAGAGCGCCTCGAGCAGACGGGCGCGCCCCTTGGCATCAGCTTCGAGCACACGGGCAAGCTCTTTGGCCTCAGCCTCCTGCTGGGCCTGGGCTAGATACACGACGCGCTCCAAGTCCGAAAGGCTTGCCCACTCAGCACGGACCAGCCCTTCATACACATGGTTGGCGGCCTGGCCGGCGGCAGGAGCACTCGACGCCGCCTCCAACCAAAGTTGATGCAGCCGACCACTGGCCCGCAATTGGGAGCGGAAGAGAACCAAAGCCTCCTTCTCGTGCGGCGCACGCTTCGGAGCGGCAGTGCACGGCCCAGGCGCCATGGCCAGGGCGAGTACGAATAGTAACGTAGGCATCGATGGGGGCATCAAGATGCCGGGAAAGGCGAAACGTCAAGACACAACTACAGCTTGACAGCGAAGCGGCTGCAGCGAAGCGGGAAGTACAAGCCTCACGCATACAAGACAAGCGAACACTAGCGCCGACCCTCCGACACGAAGCAAGCACACCCACGCCAAGGCGACACAAAACGACGAGGCAGGAGAAGGCGTGGGCGACACAACACACACGCACCTCGGCACCGGCAACCTGCGCACCTCGAACGGACCAGAAGACACCCCTCGGAGAGACACGGCAACCCACCCCGCAACCCAAAACAAGGCAACACGCGTGGGCACCCCAGACACCTCCCGGGGCGCGTCCAGACCAGGACAACGAGGCGAGACCGGCAGCGGCGACGAGGGCGACCCAGGAGGCCCCCCGAAAGGGAAAACGAGGGCAGAGTAGAGGTAAGGGCGCGCGAACCTCTGCGGAGCACCTGCCCCGACCTCGGTGAGCCTCAGAACGCGTGCCAGCGCCCGCCGTGCGCTCTCCCGCCAAGGGCCCTCGAGAGCTGCGTGGGCGGCGCGGGGGGGGCCGCAGCCGGCGGCGCTCCGTCGGCGGCGTCGGGCGAGGGGTAAACTCGCCTGGCTGGCTCGGGAGACCCCTGAGGCAGAAACATCGCCACCGCAAGGGTGCACAGGCTTTACAACCGCCGGCTTCCGCAGGCACGGCGCAGGCAACCGCAGGCGCGGCCGCCCAAGACAGCACCGCGGGCAGCCGCCGCCTTCCACCGAGGGGGAGGTGCAAGCGCCTTCGATCCTTGGAGGCGAGGCCCAGTCTGGAGCGCATCGCATGGGGCAGACACACGTCCTGGGGAACTGCGACGAAAACCCCCCTTCGCCCGACCCGACGCAGCAGCGAGAGCAATCTCTCTCGCGCACACATTTGCTGTCAGGGAGGCGCAAGCACGATGTGCCCAGCCCGAGGGGCGGGGACACCGAAGCGGGACCGGGAGAGAGTCGAGTGCACGGGGGGCACAGGTGAGGGACGAGCAGGGGAGAGGAGGGAAGAGGAGAGAGGGTGACCGAGCATAACGGTCTGGACGTTCTTCCGCCCACGGTGGGCACAACAAAGCAGCTTCCTTCCAATCGCCAGGAGGAAGAGGAGGAGGAGGAGGAGGAGAAGGACGAGGAGGAGGACGAGGAGGAGGACGAGGAGAAGGGCGACGACGACAGCGACGACGACGGGAGGACGAAGGGAGATAAAACATTATTCACAGGCGACACTCAAGCCTCCGCAATCCCCCGGAGCAGCCAGAACTGCCCCGCCGCGCGGTCCAGCTCTGCGAGCAGGAGCACCAGCTCGCAGTAGCCCGGCTGGCCGGGCGCCAGCCGCAGCATGTACGCCAGCGCATCAGCAGACGCCGGCGGCGTGTCCAACCAGCCCAGTGCAGCGAGCAGCGGCTGCCTCAGCGCCAACAGCGTAGGGCAAAACAGGACGGCGTGTGCAACGCTCGGGCCAATGTTGGCGTCGCACAAGACACACCTCTGCACCGAGGCCCGAGACCGGCGCCCACCCACATGCCCGGCGCGCACGTACCCAGCACGCGCCCGCGCGACAGCACGGCGCCCCACCAGCACAGACCACGGCAGCGTCGCCGAAGTGGTTTCGTCCATGGCGGCGGAGGAACCAGAGAACGAAAGGGCATGAGGTGCAGGGTCCGTGTGGTGCGACGCCACAGCAGCCCAGTGCGCCGACGAACGGGCAAGCAGGACTTGCCGACAGTGACCCACGTAGGCAGCAAGACTTGCGGAGCCCTGACACCACGCCGGCCAATCGGGCACGCCGTACTCTGCGAGGATAGCACCACTGCGCGAGGCCCACGTGCGGCCGCCAGCAGCAAGGCCCCGTATGAAGGCCCGACGGTAGAAGTCCTCCACCGGGAGAAGGTGCAGGCGAGCCCGGCGCCGGCATAGGTCCAGCACGGCCCTGGCGTCACCACTAAGAGAGAGGCCCACCTCGAGGGCAGCCACGCCAGCATTGCGCCAGGGAGCCCCGCCAAGGAGCGCCTTGGCCCACCGCTCGTAGGCGCCAGCAAGGTCAGTGAGGGCGCCGGGCGCCACGCACCACAGCCACCGGCCTGGGGCCATGATGCCGTCGACCTTGGCCTCAAAGGCCACCGACGCCAGGTGGAGAGGCAGCTGTCCGCCGTGCACGAGGCCCACGAGCGAGAGGCACACGTTCTCGGCAACAGCAAGGCGCTCACGGCACATCGGTGTAAGGTCCAGGTCTGGCAGCCAGAGTAGACCGAGCCACTTGTGCTGTTCGGCGCGAGCCAACTGCAAGCTGGCAGGAGTACCCAGCCGAGGCAAGGTCAGGGGCGCGCTCGCAGCCGCCGCAGCCTGGGCCGCAGCAGAGCGTGCTACGAGAGTCACCGTCCTGCGGACGCCCACGTGTAGCTCGCATCTGTGCTCCAAGCACCACAGGGCCACCAGCCGAAGCACCTCCTCGGCAGCGCCACGGCTTGAGGCCACGAACACCGGATCGTCGCAGTGGAAGAGCACCGGGATCCTGTCAGCGTCGCGCAAGTCCAGGGCTCGGAGGGCCGATGCCTCGAGGTCCGGACACGCCGCCAGGCAGCAGGAGGACGGCAGCAGGTGCGGCGCGTCTAGGTTGGCAAGAAGCTTGGCCGTGAGGTACTCGCGCGGGGTACCATGGCCCAGCCAACGATGGCCGCGCCACGGGGCAGGGCACCAGGTGGGCGTGGCCACGCCGCATTTGGCAGCACGCAGCGCCCGCATGAGACTGTCCGGCACAAAGTTGTACGCGAGAGGACCAACAACACCACCTTCCGGGACGCCTTCGAACACGTCCACCGCGCTGAGTCCACTGAGCGGGATAACGACCCGGTCCCATTCCAGAATGGACCCCAACAGAGCAAGCGAACCACCACGAACACGGCCATGATCGTGAAGGAGGCCCACCAGCTGAGCACGCCATGTACGAGGAAAAGCATCGACAAAGTCGCCGTGCACCATCCAAGTGGGACTGCAGGCGTCCAGGCGGGCAGCCACAAGTTCATGAAGCACTAGGTGTGCGTCGCCAGCGTCACGGATGTAGCCACTCTGGCCGTCCAGGAGCCTATGCCGCAGAGGGGCCTGAAGGCGGAGAGATAGCAAGCCTTCCTGCAGAAGCCCATGTTGGCACATGACGCACAGCAGCCTGTAGCTTGACGAGGCCGCCCACGGACCACGCTTGTACCTGGAGCCCAGAACCCGATAGCGCCAAAGACGGGGACGGAGGGCCAGGACACCAGGGCCAACCAGCAGCTGCAACTTCCACGTGGCATCGTCCCACACAGGGGGGCGCAAGCGGAACACCGCGCGCGGCAGCAGATGAGTCGTGGTGGCGGAAGACTCGTCCCAAGCATCCACGACCCGGAACACCTCCCACTGCAGGACTGGCGAGTCGGCGGCATAACGTCCGATAGCCGCTTGGGCGGAGCGCAACACACTGGAAAGATGGGCATCGACTTGTGCGACGACAGCCTCTGGGCAGGGCTGAGTGGGGACGCTTTGCTGGATAAGCTGGTGGCGCCAGGCTGCGTGCGACTCTTCCTGGGACAGGGCGACAGAACCATTGGCAAGGCGTGAGGGGGGATGTGGAAGACGCCGACGAAGAAGACGAAAACAATAAGATAAGCCCCGACGAAGGTCAACACCCCCACCTGTGGAAGGCCCGGCGGCTTGATGAACAGAAGCTGCAGGATGACGTTGGGCGCGCAACGAACCGAGCGGCAGCGCGCAGGTTCCCGGGCCAGACCTTCAACGATTGCCAAGAGGAGCGCAAAACAATCCCCCAGCCATTGCGCACACGCCCGCGTCGGGCGCACAGACTGGCCCGACAGCCACGTCGACGAGAAGTGGTGCGCCAGAACTCCCAGTCTCTCCAAAGGGCCTGAGATGTCGGAGAGCCCAGCACGCCACGCATCGCTATTCAGCCATTCCCGCGGCGTTGAAATCGCAGCGGCGCCGCCAGGACCAAGTGCAAGGAGACCCAAATCAGCTTCGAGTAAGAAATGGTCTCCCAAACCAAACTCCAAGCAGCCTGGCCAGCGACGCGGGTGGCAATGGAGGCTGTTGTGAATAGATGTGGAAAGCAACAGCTCAGGCGACGCCAGCACCAGATCGATCGCCCGAGACTGTCCGGGACCGTGGTGTGTGTCGCCGCAACGAATACTGATTGTACTGCCACGGAGCGGTAAGGTCACGTCCTGGACGGGTGACCCCAGGAGACTGGGGTTGCGGAGTGCCAGTCCCGACCGAGTGACGAAGCCACTCCACAGCCTATCCCAGAGCGGGAGCAGGTCTCTACCACCGCCAAGAGCGGCCGGTTGAACGTTGGCGTCACCCAGGCACAAGAGGTGCGCCGACGGGAACTGCCCCCGCAGAGCGTGCACGTCAGCCTCCAAGCCGGCCAGTTCGGAGGACCATGCTTGATCACAACTCGCTGGAAGGTAGAAGAAACACACTAAGAGAAGATTCGCGGACGCGGTACGCATGACCAGCCATAGCCGGCGGTCAGAACCCACCCCATCGAAGGCATCGAAATGCTCCTGCAGGTCCAACGCCCAGACCACCGCGATGCTACTGTACGACGGCCCCCCCCGCGCCAGCACTCCCAGGCCAGACGAATGGGGCAGCGAAGAGTCTGGAGGTGGACGCGCCCCAGGAAGGCCCAGCATGTTCAGCCCGAGCTGCGCCATGGCATGCTGGACGGAAGTGGGATGATTGAGTAGACGCCGCCATAAGACCCGGCGGCCTCGACGATCAAGGCAGCCGGTAGGGCCGGGATTTCCCGTGCCAATTCGCAACTGGCGCCGCGCAGGCGGTGAGGCCGCAGCGGCGTCAGGAGGCGGCGGAAGCCTGGACAGCGCCGCGCTGGCCAGTTGCAAACCGGAGCATAGAGCATCCCAGAGCTCGTCCGCACTGCCAGGAGGGCAGGGGGGGGGCGCCACACCACCCGGACGGGCGCGCTTGAGCCGTTCACCTTCACGCAAAAGGCGGCACCACAGATCGCGAACCAGTGTCAGGGCCGCCGGAGGCACGAGGCAGGGACGAGTGGGCTGTCGCTGGAAGTCGTGCGCCACGCCCCACTGGTCCAGGAGAGCATGGAGGGCCATGGCGCCGCAAGGGCAGGCAACCGAGCCAAAGATTGGAGCCGAAATGGAGCACCGTGGAGCCTGCGGGACAGGCCGCAAGGGGGGCTGGCAGTCGAGCCCAAGCTACGGTCGACATCGCGTAGAAGTGCCCGGCATGCAGCGGGTCCATGGTCGCAAGTGCGCCCCCCTCGCCACTTGCGGGGGCCAACCTGCAAGTGCAGGCGCCGCCAAGTGGCGGGAAAGCATCCGAGGCACGCAGAGACGCAAGAGGAAGAGGGGCACGACGGTACAACAACAGGGGTCACATAATCTCGGCCATTCGGCCTGGACGCGACAGCTAACACCACACACCGAAGCCCGAAAAAAAACGCAGCGTTCTGACAGAATTGGGAGCCGAATCCAAACGCTGGCACGAGGGGGGATAACAGCCGGCGCCCCGCAACAGCCGGCACCACCGAAAGGGGGAAGCAAAAACAACGGGGGACACTTTTTCTCGGCCACACGGCCTGGACACGAAGGCAAGCACCACACACCGAAGACAGCAGGCCAGTGGTCGAAAAGGTCGCAGCGCTCTGACAGAATTGGGAGCCGAATCCGAACGGTGGCACGAGGGGGGCCCCAGAAGCAGCCGGCGCCCCGCAACAGCCGGCACCTCCGAAGGGGGAGGCCAGCCCGTCGGATAGGAAAGGGATCGCACCAACAGACGCACAAGACGGGAGCAAAAGGAGACAGGGAGGGCGAGAGCGACGAAAAGGGAGGGCAGCGACGAGGAGAAAGGAGGAGAGGGACAGGGGGGGGACAACGAAGCAAGAGGGAGGAATGGAAGAGGAGAAACAAGGCGCAGTGCGAGGAAGGACAGAACGCGATGTGCTGCATTTCGCGCCAAGTGGCGGGCGCCAGTGCGCAGGCAACGGGGCACGCCAAGTGGCGGGCGCAATTGCGCAGGCATGTTCATGCCTCACGCCGCCAGGAGAGCGCCACCACCCAGGCGATCACATCAGCGACCCTAGGGCCCAAAGACCCGAGGAAGCCGGGCGGAGGGGGACGAGGCAGATGAGAGACGAGCGGGATGGGACTCGGCGAAAGCCTGCCTGAGGCGCCCCGCAGGGGAGGACGAGCCGCGTCCAGCACGTAGCGGCGAGGGCAGGAGGGCAGCAGGGGCACGGGAGGGGGCAGGGGAGGGGGCAGGGGAGAGGGGGCAGGCGAGGGGGCAGAGGAGAGACGAGCGGGACGGGACTCGGCGAAAGCCTGCCTGAGGCGCCCCAGAGGAGAGGCCGAGCCGCGCCCAGCACGTAGCGACGAGGGCAGGAGAGCAGCAGGGGGCAAGGGAGGGGACAGGGGAGAGAGCCGAGAGACGAGCGGGACGGGACTCGGCGAAAGCCTGCCTGAGGCGCCCCAAAGGAGAGGCAGAGCCGCGCCCAGCACGTCGCGACGAGGGCAGGAGAGCAGCAGGGGGGCAAGGGAGGGAAGAGGGGAAAGAGCCGAAAAGAGACGAAGGGAGGGGACAAAGGCGGGGAGAGGGGGCAGAGGAGAGGAGCAAGGGGAAGGAGGGGAAGGGAAGGGGAAGGGGGGGGGGGGGAGCCAGGCGGAGAGCCACACCCGCCGGCTCCACAGAGCCCCTCCGCCCCGCCGGCCCCACAGGAGGGGGCCCAAGCACCACCCACGCCGCCGCAACCGCATGGCGGCATCCGGCAGGATACAGCGCGACGCCCGGCCTGCTGCGGGATGCCCAGCACGCTCGCGAGGCCGCCGTCCACCAGCTCGTAGGCGGAGGCCGCCAAGGAGCGCAGGCTCCGCATGGGGCGGCGGGAGCGCCGCTCCGGGAGAGCCCCGCCCCTTGAGCTCCTCCTGCTCCTCCTCCTTGAGCCAAAATGGCTACGGGAGCAGGAGGACGTGTATGGGGAAATCTTCTCCTCCTCCTCCTCCTCCTCCTCGCTCCTCCCCCTCCTCCTCCTCCTCCTCCTCCTCCTCCTCCTCCTCCTTTCTGGCCTCCTCCTCCTCCTCCTACTCCGCCTCCCCATCCTCCTCCTCCTCCTCCTCCTTCTCCATGCGAAGTGCAATCCGGGGTCGCCCCTCCCCCCCCGCGGGGGGCGAGGTGAGGGCGGAGGTGGGGGGGCGCGGGTTGGGGGGGGGGGGCGCGGGAAAGGGGGAAGGTGGAGGGGAGGAGGGCGGGGGGGGGGGGGGTAAGGGGAAGGGGGAGGGGGAAGAGGGGGGGGGGGGGGGGGTGGAGGGTGGGGCGGGGAAAGGGGGTTGTGGAGGGGGGTGCTGTGTGGCGGGGGGGGGGAGGGGGGGGTGGGGGGCGGAAGGGGAGGTGAGGGGCGCGCCGCCGACGACGTTTCCGCCTCGCGCGCCGCAGCCTGGACTGCAGGCGTGCCCTTCCAGAGCTGGCGGCGCGAGGGCGTTGAGCGAAGCGTGCGTCGCGCATCGCAGGGCGCATTTCGCGCAAAGTCAGTTACCAGCCTCGAACGTGTCCCTATCCCTAAGATTGACACGCCCAAAGGCGATGACTCTCTTAGGGATCCGCCCTCAAAAAAACAAGGAAATCCCCAAGATTGGCAGCGTGATGAGGAGGTGCCCAGCATAGGGATAGGGATATGCTCCAGGCTGGTAAGTTAGGTGGCCCAGAGCCCTCGCCCCCAAGGGCTGTGCCGAGGCGCGCGTCTCTCCCCATCGCCTGGCAGGCGTCGCCCTCGGCGCGGGCGATCATCGAGCTGGCGATGCTCAAGCTGCTGAACGCCACCCCGGACTTGCTGAAGCGCGAGGCCCCCCTCCTCCTCCTCCTCCTCCTCCTCCATCCTCCTCCTCCTCATCTCATCCTCCTCCTCCTTCTCCTCCTCCTCCTCCTCTCCTCCTCCTCCTCCTCCTCCTCCTCCATCCTCCTCCTCCTCCTCCTCCTACTCCGTCCTCCTCCGCCTCTCCTCCCTCCTCCTCCCTCTCCTCCTCCTCCTCCTCCTCCTCCTCCTCCTCCTCCTCCTCCTCCTCCTCCTCTTTTTCAGTCTCCTCCTCCTCCCCCTCCCCCCCGCCGCCGCCTCCCAGGGCACAATGGGAATCGGGTGTACGTGGGGAGGTCCTCCTTCCCATCCTCCCCTCCTCCGTCCCATCCTCCCCTCCTTCCCGGCGTCCTCACGCTCCCCTCGCCCGCCCCCCTTCTCCTCTCGCCCGCCCGGCTCTTCCCCGCCCTCCAGGCGGGATCCTGCTCGGTGGTCCGGGGCCAGACCCTGGAGCCGCGAGCGGGCTGACTCGCCTGCCTGCCCGTTCTCAGTTTCGTCGGTCTGGGCGCCGGACGCGGCGAATCCCAGCAGTGCCGTACCCCCGACAGTGGGAGGAGGAGGAGGAGGAGGAGGATGACGGTGGGATGAGGGGATTAAAGGAGGAGATGAAGGAGAGGGAGGGGAGAGGAGGAGAGGAGGAGGAGGAGGAGAGGAGGAGGAGGAGGAGGAGTGGAGGTGCGACGAGGAGGAGGAGGAGGAGGAGGAGGAGAGGAATGAGGAGGAGGAGGAGGAGGACAGGAGAAGGAGGGGAGGAGGAGGAGGAGTAGGAGGAGGGGAGGGGGAGGGGGAACAACGAGGAGACGATGAGGAAGGAGTAAGGAGCAGGAAGCAGGAGGATGGGTGGGGGAGGACGAGGAGGAAGAGGAGAGGAGGAGGAGGAGGAGCAGGAGCAGGAGCAGGAGCAGGAGCATGGAGGATGGGTGGGGGAAACCCGGCTGTGATGAGAGGGAAAGATTGAAAGGGGCCCAGGGGGTAACGCAAGGAAGCAGGGCGTCGAGCGAATGCGGCGAGCGGGGGGGCGCCGTGGGGGCCGCGCCCTTTGCTGCCGAGGAGCCCGCTCGCTCTAGGCGCCCGCTCGGCCAGCCGTGCGCGACCGCAGGTCAAGGCTGGGGCTTTTAGGAGGTTCTCCAAACCCACTTCCTCCTCCTCCTCCTCCTCCCTCCCCCTCCTCCTCCCCCTCCTCCTCCTCCCTCCTCCTCCCCCTCCTCCTCCCCCTCCTCCTCCTCCGCCTCCTCCTCCTCCTCGTCTTTCCCCTCCTCCTCCAACCCACTTTAGCCCCGATTATCGGAAAGGATTGCGAGCACCAGAGAAGTGCAGAAAAAATCGAGGGTTTTTCACGCGTCGGGCCCTGGGAGACACTCGTCCGACACTGTTTCGACACTCGTTCGACACTTCTCTGGGTGCTCGAAATGATTTCTGGGATGCGGTCCATTAAATACGATGGGAGCAACATGAGGCTGGACCTGAATTCGGAGGTTGATGTACCTCCCACCCTGACACGTCGACTCAGGAATTGACCGTTTTCGGTTCGCGAGAGGGCGCCGCTGCCGTCATTGTTTGCGGGTCCAGGTCCGTCGGTGACGGTCCCAGGCCGTTTTCACTAAGGGGAGGTTTACTAAAGGGAGGTTTGTCCATCGCCGACAAACGGTGTGTTTGCGATTTCGTGGGCCGTTCTCGTCTCGACTTCGTGTTGCGGTAAAGGCGGATTGAAGACAAGACGGGGGACAACGAACACAACACGAAAGCGAACAACACCGATTAGCCTCAGTCCTGCCCTTAGATCTGGCCAACCTGCAGTCAGTTTCCGCCACCCGGCGGAAGCGGTCGCAAGCGGCGCCCCCACCACCACTCCGCGCCAGCGGAACCGGCGTCCGCGGGCGGGTGGGGTTGAGCGCGCAGGGTGTTGAGGAGGCTTCAAGGCGTTAGCTATGATGTGCAGGCGCGTCGGAGCAAACGGCGCGTTGGAGCAAGCGCCGCATCCTCCTCCTCCCCCTCGTCCTCCTCCTCTTCCTCCTCCTCCTCCTTCCTCCTCCTCCTCCTCCTCCTCCTCCTCCTCCTCCTTTCAGGGGGTTGTGTGGATCGTGCGAGGGGGAGGGGCCATCAGGGAGGGCGGTGGGGAGGGGCAGCTGGAGAGAGGTGCTTTTTCCCTGCTCCAGTAGGAGGGGGATGTCGCAGGCCTAGAGGTTGCCACCAACACCAACATCGGCGGTGTGCCTCCACCGAGGGAAGACGATCCCGATCTCGGTGATGGTGGTAATATTCTGGCTTCCAAGGCGACCGAAATATTACCACCAACATCGAAATCTAGGATCATCTCCCCCCTGTGGAGGCAACCCCCTCTGTTGGTGTTGGTGTCAATTTCCAGGCCTCCAAGGATGAGTGGCGTGTGAGCTCCTTGCCTCGGGCCGAGGCCCTGCGTCGCGCGCAGGTTCTGCCCTTCATAGAGGACCTGCAGGACTCCAAGGACGTGGAGTTGCAGCAGCGGTCGTGCGAGATGCTGCGGCTGGTGCGGAACGAGGCGTGGCCACCCATTTTGCGGCAATAGGTTGAGCCGCGACCAGCTCCAAGTAGCGGTGCCGTTGAGTTCAGGTATTGGTTTCCCCGAGCCTTGCATGCACTTATATAGGGGTTCTGACTTCCCTCACGGAGTAATAGTATGATGGGTCCGCGGAGGCCTCGCCTGGTGGGCGCGCGCGTGGGTGCCTTTTTGGGCGCCCCCGTGCCCTGGTCTGGCCCGCCGAGGGTGTCGCCTGGTAGGCGCAGGTGGTCCGCTGTAGACTGCACCACACAGCTGTCACCACATACAGTCGGGGCGTTGACCTAAGGAACGATAAAGAAGGAACGAACCCCCTTTTTTATCCCAAGGAATAGCACATAAGGAACGATACTTAACAAATAATGCATAAGGAACTGTAAATAATGCATGCAAGCCTGAGGAACGACCGAACGCCTTTTGAAAAGTAAGTGTTCCTTACACAAGCCGCTCACTGTAGGTCGCACCACACATGGGGCGCTCCGACAAGGGCCTCGCCTTCGAGGGCATAGGAGCTGTCATCTCTTCCGCTGCGGAAGGCGGCGGGTGGCCGGCGGAAGTACAACGAGGGGGAAAGAGGAGGAGGCGGAGGACGAGGACGAGGACGAGGACGAGGACGAGGAGAACGAGGAGGAGGAGGAGGAGGAGGAGGAGGAGGAGGAGGAGGAGGAGGAGGACCCCTTCCCCCATCCAACTTATGATGGTGGTGGTGGAAAACAAGCCCATCATATCCGTTGGGGGCGCCGCACGACCAGGCGGGGTCCATGTCGAGCCTCCGGTCTGGGCGGGGACGAAGGGCCCAGATCCTCGGATACCGAGTGTTTGTTCGGTTGCGATCGGTGGCGACCGATCGGCACCCCAAGTCGGCCGCGGCCGATCGCGGCCGAGCCCAGAATCGGTCGTGACCGGTCGCCACTGATCGCGACCGATTTTGAAGCAAATCGATCGCGACCGATAGTGCACTTTGACACAAAATGGGTAGCGACCGTTCTCGTCTGTCGCGACTGAAAAGTTCCAGTATCCAATGATCAGGAGGAGGGGACACATAAGAAGGCAGTGAGGGCTGCCCCGTGTGGGCCCTGAGAGGGGTTCTGTAGGGCCCCAGAACGGGGCTCTCAGAGTCCGAAGAGGGCGCCTTTCTCCCCCCCATTACTTATCGCCCCCCCCATATTTTCCCAACGCCCAGCATTGGGCGCCGCAGTGCTTCTTGAAACGGCGAGGGCTGCTCTGCACATCGGCGATGGCACAGCAGAGAGGAAGCCAGAGAGGCGACGATAGTAAAGATTACCAGCCTGGAACAGATCCCTATCCCTATGCTGGGCATCTCCTCATCACGATGCCAATCTTAGGGTCTCCCTTATTTTTTGAGGGTGCATCCCTAAGACTGTCATCGCCTCTTGGCGTGTCAATCTTAGGGATAGGAATAAGTTCGAGGCTGGTAAACAGAAGAAAGGAGCCACGAAACAAAAGAACAAGCATCGCCACCCCCCTTTTACTCGAACCCCCGGTTCGGTGCCCGATCCTGGCTGGCCCGCGCCCTCCCCGGGCCGAGACGGCAGCCTACACAGCGCGCCTCCTCTCTGCAGCCTCGGCCGGCTGCGGCCGGCGCGCAGGACCAGGCCCGCGGGCTGGGCGAGGGGCCCCCCCTCCGTCGGGGGAAACCGCGCGACCAGGCGGGGCCCAGCTCTCAGAACCGGAAAAACACACAAACACAAAGGGTTTTATTGGTTTTACGCCGGAAGGGGGCGTCGTTGAGAGGGTACCTGGCACGGATGCGGGGATCAAGGTGGCGTCGGTGCTTGGAGCTGGCGGTTTGCGTGGCAAGGGCGTTTAGCTGGCCGCATTTGTTTGGAACGCGTGACGGGCGGAACGGCCGCTCGCCAGCAACTGGCCGCATTTGTTTGGCCGCTCGCCGCTCACCGCATCGAGCGGCCCGAGCTGGTCGGGCCGCTCGATGCGGTTCGATATCGCTGATGGCCGGCCCGATGTATCGAGGATCGAACGGCCCCTAGCCCTCAGAGCACGTTGAAGAAGTGGCCTCGCTGAGGTCCCCGTCTTCGCATTGAATCGAGCTGTGCGGTTTGGCCTCATGCATCTGCAGAAAAGACTCCTGGGGCCCTGATGTTCTCGGCCCTCCTGACTCAGGCCCCCTCCCACAGGGTTAGGGGGTACTTGAATTGCTTATCCCAGGCGTTCCGAGAAGACTGGGAGCGAGGTAAGGGGGGGGGGGGGGCATTCGAGGGGGGCAGGAAGGTGCCTTCCCCGTCCGCCCTGCCAGCCCCTTTCGGTGCCCTTCGGGGTCCCCTCCTAGGGGCCCTACAGGGTCTCTTTTCGGCAGCCTCGCTCCCCCCCCACACACTTGATCGCTCCCCAGTTATCGCCGGGTGCTCGGAGGAAAAGATTACTCTGGATTCCATAATAAAGTAGGGGGGGGTAGATTTGGCGGGGGGGTCTGATTTGAGCTGTCTTGAAGGGTTAGGGGGGGTCTTGGCAAAGGGCCGCCCTTTCATGGATGGTCTGGGAGGGTCTAAAACTTCTCGTCTGGGAGGGTTGAGACCCCTTCCCTTTTATTACGAAATCTGGAGTACCGAAACTCGGAGGACAAACCATGACAGAATCACGAAAACTCGGAGCTCCGCGCAGATCCCTCGGATGGGCGCTGGAGCCCCCCTGGCGGCGCCTCTGGCGCCCCTGGCGCCAGCTCCGCTTCGAGAAATCCGCGCGGACCTCCGAGTTTTGCTTGTGGCATTGTCTGCTCCCCTAGGTACTGCTACCGTTGCCTCGTTGTCGCTTTTTTGGGGCCTCCTGGGGGGGGCCCTCGTCGCCACCGCTGGATTCGCCTCGAAGTCTTGGTTGGGACTGGACCCCAGGAGAGGTTCGGGGAGTAGTGGTATCGGTGCCTCTTTGGTTTCCTCAAATCTGGTTCTCGGGAAGGCCCCTCGTCGCAGACACTGGATTCGCCCCAAAATGCTGGTCAGGGCGCACCTCGGGAGAGGTCGGGGGAGTAGCGGTGTCGGTGCCTCTTGATTTGCCCGGATCTAGTTCTCAGGGGCAACGATTGAGGGGAGACGTCGGGCGGGTCCGGAGCGTTCCAGAGCGTTCCTGAACGGTCTCGGAGCGTTCCGGAACGCATCGACCCCTCGCCCTGGCCTCGCCTCAGAATGGGGGGATCTGCTCAGGGGGGAACGCATCGACCCCGAATCTCCGAATCGCCCATTCATCGCCGATAGGGGGGTGATAGCCTACCCCGCCCAGGAACGCAAAGTTTCGCTGCCAGGCGCCGATCATCGATCTCTCGTCAATCTATCGCGATTCTATGTCGATGTGTCATCCGTGAGGCCAGTCCACCCCTAACATGGCCCCTCATATTTGAATTCGACACTCCGACGATGCGAGGCAGACCGATGTTCGCACGGCGTTGTTGTGCATCTCGGCGCAGCCGGTTCGCTTCGACTTCGACCCCGTGCCAGTGCAGCCCGATCCGACGAACAGGCCGAGTCGAACCAGTTTCCCGATTCGATGCCGACTGGTGCTGTCAGGACATGCTCGAGGAGGTGATGCAGCCCATGCCGCAGTACGCGGAGGCGGTGCAGCAGAACAACCCGCTGATAGCTCGGAGGGGGCCCGGGCGCCGGGCTGGAGGAGCTCCGGGTTGCGCTCGACAACATGTCCGCGTCCCCTCGTTGCGCGATCCGAGTGGGGGATCGACTGCATGATCGATTAGCCCCAAAAATCAGTTCCCTTGGCGAATCTACGAAACGTGCCTACAATGTTCCGTAGATCTACGGGGTTCGATGTATGTTTTGCATGGGTTCGACGAGAAAGTCAATGCTGGGCTCAATCCATTCTGCAGCCCATCCCCTGCTCGAGCGCTTGTCGACCAGACGTGAGAGGCACCTTCCGTCGGAGCGACCTGCGGTGCGGGCCCAGTGGGGGTCCCCGATCGCCGAACGCGATGGGATCGTGGCGCCCGCGGGTTCCAAACGAAGCGGCGCAGCAAAGGTCACGTCCTGAGCGGGGCCACTCTTGCGTGGAGTCGACGTGGACGAGCAGGACCCCAGGCCTCCGACGAGATTCCCCTATATAGCGCTTTGCCGGGAGGATCTGAGAGAGCACGTTGGGTTTCCCTGGCGGCAGCGGTTGTTACCAGGAGGTGCCGGGGCGGGTAACTCAGAGCCCCGAATCATCAGGGGTAACTCGGGCGTCCAGAGCCCCGAATCATCAGGGGTAATTCGGGTCAGGGCTAACTCGGGTTCCTTTTTTCGGGAATCCAAACCCGAGTTACCCCGGACCCGAGTTATCCCGGATAACTCGGGCGCCCAAGTAACAGCCGCTATCGCGAAGAATGAATACAGAAGGTTGAGGACTTAGTGGGCCCTGGAAACGACAGGGCCGTTTCTTACCCCGGTTCTGTTTTGCCGTTTTTGTTCCCGGTCCCGACGCCGTTTTGACACCAGTTCCGTCGCCGTTTTTTGACCGGTTCCGGCTCCGGTTCCAATCTATGAGCCGTTTTTTTTGCCGTTTCCGGTCGCCGTTTTTTTGCCGTTTTCATTTTCAAGGGACATTTTTTCGGAAACGGTGAAAAAACGGCCCTGCCGTTTCCGGGCCCCACAAAGGTCCCATTGCAAAGGAGGCGTGGGTTGCGAGACCGCCCTGTCTGGCAGCCGCTTCGCCCGAGACGGCCTCGCAGTTTCCTTGAGGGATCGTGCTCTCTCGCTTCCGGGCGGGCCGCACTTTTGCATTTGGATTTCAACGATGTCATCGCTCGGACGTGTGCATTTTTCCTTCGGCGAGGACCATCGAGGAGCGTCCTTGATCATTTGGCGAAACAACCACGCACGAGACCGACAAAAATACAGGGAATGGACGTCCGAGCGATGGCGAGTCCACGATGTCATCCTTATGAGATTACTGTGCGCATGGCCGTGCTCTGGCCCTTGTCCCGACTGCGTCCTCCTTTCATTCGCCAACCTCCTGCTCTTCGACCCGCCTCTCCACCTTGGCTACGAGTAGGCTTCATTTTCTGGGTACATGTTTTTGCTGCCAATCTGAGCGGTGTGCCTCGATTTCGACGTCTTGGCCCCGTCATTGGGCATTGGGACACTCAAGTATGGTTCTGGGGCGGAGCGCCACGTGGGGAAGGGGTCCCGACCTGTGAGGCTGCGGATTACGAGACCAAACCAAAAACACCGTCGGGCGTCTCCGTAGAATGGGAGCCTTGGATGTCTTCGCGCATTCGTCCTTCGAGTGCACGTGCTTGCGCTAGCCTGTGATGATCGAGGAGGGAACGCCAATTTAGGGTCGCTCAGCGTCGATGTACCGTCGGTTAGCGTCGATGCGTGTCGGCTCGCGTCGGTCAGCGTCGATGTTCGCAAGAGCTAGCAAGGAAGCAAGCACGGGAGGCTCCCACGAGCTGTCGCCGAAAGGTGACTGTGGCAGAGGGGCTGGGGCGAGGATGAGGCTCGCAGGCAGGGGGTGGCAATGGCCTGCGTGCAGAGAAGAGAGAGGCCGAGGCAGCGCTGGGGAAGCGCAGCGTACGAAATGGCCCAATCTCGGCAGGCTGCACTATCTTCATCCTCATCCCCCTCCTCCTCCTCCTCCTCCTCCTCCTCCTCCTCCTCCTCCTCCTCCTCCTCCTCCTCCTCCCCCTCTTCCTCCTCCTCCTCCTGGCTCGTAGTGGCTTCGCGATCGGCAAACTGAAGCGCGGACGCATGTGGCGTACGCGTGCCCGGTCTCCTGGCACAAGGCGCCTGTTTGGCGTGTTTTTTGCCCGCGCGTCCACACGGAGGCACGGCTTTTAGTGGTGGTGGAGCCCCCGACCTTCGACGAAACATGACGCCGTTCAGAAATGGAGGAGGACCTCCGCCTCCTCCTCCTCCTCCTCCTCCTCCTCCTCCTCCTCCTCCTCCTCCTCCTCCTCCTCCTGCTCGTTCCATACACCGTCTGTTTGGGAAAGCTCTTGGAAAGCTCCTCCTCCTCCTCGAGGTTTGCAGGCGACTTGTCTCCCCCAGCCCCCGACCTTTCGACGACACACCCCGAGGGGGGTGGCCACTCGGACGCACCCCAAATCGAGGCTGGGCGCATCCCCCCCCCCCCTGGATATATCCCAGGGTTGGGCTGCAGTTGTCTGGTCCGCTCGAAGGCCTTCCAAAGCCTGGCATAGGGGTCGCCGTGCCCCCATGCTAGAGGGGCCTTGCAAACAAGGCGTACAACAAGGTGTGTGTGTGTGGATGTGCACATGTGTTGAAGAATTTCTCTCAGACATACAATATATTTATAGTTACATCTATACATCTACAACTTTATACATATATATATATGTAAATGTATATATATGTATATATATATACATATATATACATATATACACATATATGTATATATATATATATGTACATATATGTATATATATATGTACATATAGCCCTGAGGCCGGTGGACTGTCGCCCTGCGACCAGGGCCTCGGGGCAGGGCCTCCTGCCGGGCGCCACCCCCCTGCCTGAGGCGCCTGCTGCCAGGGACCGCCCGCCGACACGCCCAGCCCCGGTGGCCGCGCACCTCGAAGTCCTCGGGGCTCGAGGGGGAGGAGGAGGAGGAGGAGGAGGAGGAGGAGGAGGAGGAGGAGGAGGAGGAGGAGGAGGAGGAGGAGGCGGAGGTGCTCCTCGATTTCTGAGCGTCTTCACGTTTCGTCGAAAGGACGGGGGCTCCACCACCACTAAGCTGTGGATGCGTGTGGACGGGCGGGCAAAACACGCCAGACGCGAGCCTCTGCCAGGGTTCAGTTCGAACGGGGGTCAGTCAGAGCGCCTGATCTTGCAGGATCCTGCAGAGCCAGGGATGCACCGATCCGGCCCTGGGTGCAGGATCCTGCAGGCTCTTGCAGGATCCTGCAATACCTGACTGACCTGGATCTGGCTTGACCCAGGTCAGTAGATGCCCGACGGTGGCCCCGCATCCAGGGCCGGTCTGGGGCCGTGTCGGGCTCCTGTGAGGCTGCCTTGGGGCCCCCCCTGGAGGCCATGCGAGCCATCTTGGGGCCATCTGGGGGCCATGTGGAGGCTATGTTGGGCCGTCTTGGGGCCCCTTTTTGGGCAGTCTGGGGGCCCCTTTTGGGTCCGTCGCGGAGCCCGTCTGGGGCCGTCCGGGGCCATCTCCCGCCGTCGTGGTCTCCCCCTTGGCAGTTCCCCACGCGGCTGCCTGCCCCGCCCTCGACGAGGGGGGGGGGGCGGCGGGGGCGGCGGGGACCCGCCCCTGCGAGGCTGCGGAAGGCGTGGGGCAGGCCATGGGGGGGCCGAGAGCTGCCAGGCAGGGTGCTGAGGTCGCGGGCGCGGAGGCGGAGGGCCAAGATTCCGGAGCTGCTCCTCCTCCTCCTCCTCCTCCTCCTCCTCCTCCTCCTCCTCCTCCTCCTCCTCCTCCTCCTCCTCCTCCTCCTCCTCCTCCCCCCCCTCCTCCTCCTCGCCCTCCAGGGGAAACGCCAGGAGGCCGAGCCCGCTGAGACCCATGCGTCCCGTTCTCGAAGCAGAGGGAACGCCACAAGCATAAACCATTGGCGCTCCGCGCGGATTTCGTGGCTCCGCGCTGGGCCCGCCTTGGGCGGCGCCTCCGGCGCCGCCCATGGCGCGCCCAGCGCGCCGGGGAGTGGGGGCCCCCGGAGCGCCAACAGTTTATATATATATATATATATATATATATATATATATATAAATATATATATATATATATATATATATATATATATATTCTCTCGGGCCGGACGAAATGGGGGGATTGAGAAAGGCGGGGGGGGAAACGAAATCTGCTGCATGCAGCTAGTCTCGGCCCGACCGAGGGGCCCGTTCCTCGATACATGGGCGCCTCCTGGCGCCGGGAGGCGCCGGGAAAATCAGCTACGTGAGCTGAGTCTTAACCCCCCCCTTTGCTATCGCCCCCTTTCGCCCGACCCGATGTTCGCATTCTACGTTCAACAGAAAGAGCACACACGTAATTACACCACTCCCTGCAATTCTTGCGCCATCGAGCATGCCATGTGGTGAGGAAAGGACCCATGTCGGGATAGCGCGTGGGCGAGGGATGCAGCAATGACCAATGCAGCATCATGACGCACATTTCTGGTCTGGCATCAAGCCAGGGCTCCGGCCGCCTGTGTCAGATGTGGCCCAGGGCCGATTGCGGTCAGGAGCTTTTGCGTACAGTGGGGGCCCATGCCAAGACACACCCTGCTTGCCTCCAGGGTGCCCTGGGTTTCTTGGGTTTCGATGCCTTTGCCATGGGAAGCGGGACGTCCTCACACCAAAAATCAATCTAGGTTATTAACAATAAGTTATAAATTTATGAACTTAGACTTACGATCCAGACGGGTATAAGTTAGAATTTAGACATGCCAATGGGACCAGCGGAATTGTCTATCAAATTTGAGGCCGGGCTCTGTTTTCCAACTTGTGCAGGTTTTTTAAAGAGAAATGATGACTTGTGCAGGGTTTTTTGCTTGGGAACCGATGGGTTGTGCAGCTTTTTCCGTTCTGTGGGATCGGGCTCGGTTTTCGAACTTGTGCAGGTTTTCTTAAAGAGAAATGATGACTTGTGCAGGTTTTTTGCTTGGGAACCGAAGGGTTGTGA